GGGGGGGTTGAGAAACAAATTGAATGCATTGACGGTTTTTGTTTCTGAAAACAACATCCGAGTCTATCAGAAGTGCTCCCTAATGCTTTAGAATGGACGCTTCCGTTCACTATGTCTTGGATGATGGCATCTGTATCTGCAAAGACATAGACATACAGTAGTCTAGTCTAGTCAAATCAAGTCAATTAGAGGTGCCCCCCTAACTAACCCACAGATGAAAGCAGCCCCTTTATGTATGCAGGCCGCTACTGCAGCGTTCCGAGAGCGGGAAGTGACAGTAACGGAAACTATGAGTGTCTCGAACATGATCTTCACAAAGAATTATGGGAATTGGTTCACAAAAACAAAAAGTCTGTGGACGGTTCGGATGCTGCACTGCTACCATCGGCTCGAAGCTTGCACCAAGCGGTCGAGACGAGATCAAGAGCTCGGTCTTCGTTCCTTGTTACTTAGCGGCAATTGCTTCTTGGACGTCGTACTGTACTGTACTTGTGCATGCATGTATGTACCCTAGCTGCCCAGGTACGGATACAATAGGTGCCATTCCATCAACATGTCCTCGTCTAGGCTGGGCTTTGTTGATACCTAGAGATTGCCGGAAGATGCATTGATTGTGGCTTTGCAGCGATCCTGTGAAAAGCTGTAATGGGAATCTGGGATAGGCTAATTGAAACATGAAATGAATGTGGGCGTCATTTCTAGAACTTGCTTTTGTTCTCAACGGTGCAAGCCTGGCAAGATGCAATCAATATCCTTACATCGCCAATCAATCATCTGAGCTGCATCTTTCTCCCAGCCATCTCCCGTTCAGTTTTGTACTGTAGGCACGCACTCACTTTCTTGGCTTGGAGGGTTGCTGATTCAGGTCCCTCTCCTCATAATTTGAGAGGCAATATCAAGTGCCTGTAGCTTTGCAGCTAAAATGACAAGCCTGAACATAAACGGATTGGAGTCCTGATTTTGGATCCAAGGGGATTAGATAGACTCCGCTGCCCCGCTGATGGCCAATGGTGCAAGCTTCTCGGCTCCTAGACCTAGAGGCTGAGGTGATCAAGGGGATAAGGAGACGAGACAAATTTCATTGGGACTGGAGGAATTATTGCTGGAAAGACTGTTGCGCTCATCAGAGTTTCACTATATTTGTCTGTCCATCCATGGTAACCAACCCAGCCTCACAATAATTGAAGCCAGAAGAGTAAGTCCATTCAACCCTGGTATGACTTGTTGGTGTTATGTTCTCTCCAGCTGTTAGCAAACAAAACAGAGAGAGTCCGAGCATATTCGTGCTCCTGTTATTATTACCTCTCATCCATGGATTGCTGCAGCACTGGAGCGTCCTTCCGCAAAAAGGGCCCTACTCCTAGCAAGGTTCCATTATTCCCCCCCAGTTGCTGCCAGGGCTCCCGCACTACACGAGCCACTCAGAAAATCCGTGCATCCAAGTAACTCAACCCCCAAGCGGGCAATCACTGGTCAATCCGCTGCTGATATGACTCCACTACTGGCTCTAACTGAACCCTGCTGGATATGGACTAGGCCGTAGATTGCGGTAGCGGTAGGTACACATCTAGGTAGCAGAAGAATTGACCGCCGAGAGCATAAAGAACGAAATATTTTAGTCACTTTATGCTAGCGTAGACCAGCAGTTAGATCATTTTATTTTGGCGCCCCAGGCCTAAGAGGACAATCTTTCTGTTACCCAGTAGGTACAGTACAGGTCTCTACCTAGACTCTAGCTCGGGGGAGGTTCCACTCAGTGAAGTGAGGTGCAGTTTCCCCCCCTACCAGGCTAACATCCCCCGGGTCCTTCCCATCACATTCTCCCGCTCCTGCTCCTGTTCTCTGCCACCAAACCTCACCAAACCTTACCTTCCTTACCTTTTACCCTTCCACTTCCACTTTCCACTTTCCCTGGCCTCGACGGACCCTTTTTTCTTCTTCCTTCACATATCCGTTCCAACCCAAACATCGACATCCGAATAGCGTCCCGACCGTCGATCCTCTCATTCTCGTCCGCGTCTTCAACTTCTTCGCAAGCTTTCAGCTCACTCAGTGTCATTCATTTGACTCGAGCCCGACTCTCCGTAAGTCTATCATCTCGAACAATCGAATCCGTCTCGCCGTCGCCGGTTAGGGGTGAGCGACATGGACGATCCGCGATGCAACGACCAAATCAACAATGAGATGAACAATACACTCTTTTCGACTTCAACTGGCCGCTCCCAATGGCATCGGCCCAGGCAAATTCGATTGACACGCAACGCATTCATCTCGTACCTTGGTCCGCTATTCGTCTATGTCGCGACGCTCTGATCACGAACCGAATCTTGTTCGAAATCGCATTTCCAGTTGGCTAACCTCGCGCAATGGCAGTTCTCAACGTGTTCGCGCGCCTAATCGCCGCGACTCTTCCGCTAAACACCATACTTAATTCGCCTCGGCAAACCATTACAAGATGCCTCAGTACACTTCTCGCGATGTCGGCGACCCTTCGCAAATCAAGAAGAACAAGCAGTCGATGGCTGATCTCAAGCTCCGACGGCTAACGGAGCTCAACAACCGCTTGCGCGAGGATCTTGAGCGAGAACGCATTCCTGTTAGCACAGCATCAAAGAGGTATGTCGCCCGTGTTGAAACCCACTTGGCGTCTGTGTACAGATACTAATGTTCTGCAATAGCATCATCGCCTACTGCAATGGCACTCGGGACTACATGGTTCCCTCCGTCTGGGGCGCTGTACCCAAGGGCGAGGACCCTTACGCGCCGCAACAATCTGGTGGCTGCTGTGTGGTCATGTAATACCAGTCGTTGTCGTTCTTTTTCTTCACTACCGATTACCAAAAACCAACTACTACGCAATGTCGACGATGATTCAGCGATTGGAGGAGGGCCGCAGTCAATTTTGATATGTTTGTGACGCATTTAAGGGGAGTAAATTAAGGAGATCCGAGTATGGGATACTCGGACAACACCGGCGAAATGGGCCCTGGATACCAAGCGCCTGCTAGCGATACCACAACGACATCCACGACAGTCACTGGGGGAAGCTGTCAGGAACGATTTGTCCCACTGACGAAGCGCCAGAAGGGTTGAGAAGGCCCTTGCCCACAAGATCCAGCTGTACTATAAGGACCCAGATCGAGATACCCCAAGATGCGATTTGAGCGGGTCACAAAAGCCAACAGCAAGAGCAAGGGGAGCTAACTATAGTTGACGGTGGTTTTAATTCTGTCTCGGTGCATGCTTTGTTTCTTCCTGCTGGATGGGACACGAGTGTTGCTATGAGACCATGCAGGGGAGGTTGAACACCACCAGGGGCGTCTAAATCTGGGTCTGGGTCCAAAGAAACGGTTATGGATCGGGCTCTTGCGCGAATGTAATAATTCCCAATTTTTATCATCATTTTTCTGTTATCATAGGTATCATTTCCATGTCGTGTACGTTTCCCAAGCCAATTTATACTTCTTGTCAATGATTCGACGAGTTTAATTCTTCCATTTTACCAGTACCTGCTGCTGCATGTATGTATGTGTATATAATTATCCTTCATTTTGGTAGTAGCCATGAACCTCTCGATACTACCTACACCTATGTTATTAATTCTGTGTTGCAATTCCCGGCGTCTATCAACCAATACCTCTCGCGTTTATTCGCAAGACCCGACCCTGACCTGACTCTGGTTGTGTTCGTCCGACCCCACCCGATCCAACGCAGTTCAGTTCAGCTCAGCTCAGTCCCAATTCGATTCATGCATCCAGTCAGCCTCCGCCCAGAGCGACCCGAGTCAAGTGGATCATTCAGGTCGACGTGACTGTTCTCGACCGCGGGGCTTGCATCACATCAGCCAACATCGTACCTAAGTTACCTATCTTAAAGAGGGGCAGAGGAGCTCTAAATCACCAACTTAGCCATATGCCTATTTACTCATAGATTTTGACATCATTCCCATATCCAGAGCCCATTCATCCATCTTTGTCACTTTCACCCCTGAATATTCCTTCGATTCCAGCCTGTCACAACTAACCTTGAGATCGCTACTAGGGAAAGGCATTGAGTTATTGCTACAGCCGAAACTCTGAGCCCAACGCCGCAGCCAAAAAGAAAGAAAAGTCAAATCGGAGCCGGTCCAGCCAAGAATAGACCACGACGTTCCCGGAACCAATTGCATAGAAACTACCAACCATCGATATTCAAAGCATGGCCAGCCAAACGCCTCTTCCCCGCGTTTCCATCCAGTTTTGCACGCAGTGTAAATGGATGCTAAGAGCGGCCTATGTAAGTCTACCTCAATCATACCTATGATACGCTAGCAATAAAAGGCTGACGTGCCCACAGTACGCTCAAGAGTTACTTTCCACATTCTCTACAGGTCTCGGTGAAGTCGCTCTCCAGCCTTCCACTGGCGGTACCTTTATCGTTACTATCACCCACCAAACTCCCGAGGCTGAGACTGCCTCTACAAAGACTCTCTGGGACCGACGTGAAGATGGCGGCTTTCCCGAGACAAAGGAACTCAAGAGGAGAGTGAGAGACGTCATTGAACCGAACAGAGATCTGGGCCATGTAGATAAGGACTATGGAAAGAAGAAGGATGAGGGCAAGAAGGAGGATGTAGTCGAGGAAAAGACAACTGACACCGAGCAGAAGAAATGTGAGGACTGTCAATAACGAACAGTTGTCTTGTCTAAATATACCTAGGTTCACGATATGCCTTGTGTTAGATCGTGCCATGAGCGTTCGGTATCCAGACTGATACCGAAATCAAAAGCTTGGGGCATACTGCTACTGATCACTGGAGTATAAATCGATACAGGCATCTTCTTCACCTGTGTACAATAAAGACACATTAGACGACAGCATGTTAGTGCCTTCGATTCGATGCTCAAAATCTGGAACGGAAGCAAAGATCCAGGGGACGAAACGGTTCTTAGGAATGCAACGAAAAATCTCTTTTTTTAAACCACGATTCATACAGCAATTAACATTTTCTATCCTCCTGGTCCACTTCCACCTACTCTCATATCCCTCAGAAAAATCAAGCAACGCTGTCTCCTCCCTCACCAACCCGAACTAAAAGCACAAAACGTATACAGAGGTTGCCTTCGAGCAACGAATAAGACCACACAAACCTCGTCCATGAAATGCAACATGACCGTTAAAACGCTCCCAGCCAGATTAGCCGTCGATGGATTATCCTCGTCATCACAAAAAATAAAGTGAGAGATATATCATCAGCCTCTCGAACTGCGTTTGTCCACGGGCCAGCCTACGCGGAGCAGACATATGGCATCAGATCGTCTGTCCCGTGGATCATATGCATGGAATCCGAGAACTGTGTGCAACTCAAAAAACAAGTTTTGTCAAAGTTTTATCTGTGGAGCTAAGAAACAGCCGTTTGTCGTTATCAAGTTCGCATATAGGCATTAGAGACGATTCGGGTTTCGCAAAAGTCAGCGTCGCGGTCCGGCGCCTCTTAAGTTCCGTCACCCTCCCAGTGAACCAACGTTCCTTACCACCTCGGGTGGCAAGGCTAGCTGCGAGACGGCGGAGATTGGGGGTGCGCTTCGATCGAGACAAGTCCCGAGTCGAGTCGTTCGTTCTTCGTCGCGGTGGTCATCCACGTCGGTCGAGGATGTGATCATTTAACGTCGGCCGAACCTGTTGAAAGCAAAAATTGTTGGTATAAATTCTTCATTTCTTCATTTCTTCATTTTGGAAGGGGGGGAGGTAATTGGCGTGCTTGTGCTGCCAGTCGTTTGAACATACTTTTGCTTCTTTTCAGCGGGTTTCAAGATCTGTGGAGAAAAGGCATTAGTATCTTTCACGACAGGATCATCCTTCTCGTTATTTACCTGGAAAGAACAGAGCAAGCTCTCGTCGACACTCATCATAGCACCAGCGTTATCGAATTCACCGCAGTAGTTGGGCGCACTAAATAGTGTAACCAGCTGGCGCTTGGAGAAGAATTCGTAGCCATCCTCAACAACCTGGTGAGCTCGGCAGATGAGATCCATATCGTGCTTCTGGAGGAAACGCGAAACAACATCAGGACCGAATGTGAAAGAAACACCTCGATCGTTTTCGCTCCATCCAGTAATGTCCTTATCGGGATCGGACCACAGAAGATCGCAGAGAAGACCGCAGTCAGGAATCTGGAAACACGGTCAGTATGACACTCAGACAGCAATGCGCCCATCCTTTGCGCAGAGCAGCGGTTACTCACATCAGTAGGGCGCATAACCCGGCGGATCTGCTCCATAGAGTTGAGATCAGGGCTCAGACCACCGTGCATGGTGAAAATCTTCTCGTCAATGATAGCAGCGATGGGAAGGCAGTTGAAGCAGTCGGTAAAAGTCTTCCACAGCTTAATGTTATAGCGACGCTTGCATTCGTCGTAGAATCCATAGATACGGTTGATGGAGGCGCACTCGTGGTTACCTCGGAGGATGAAGAAGTTTTCGGGGTACTTGATCTTGTAGGCGAGGAGCAAGCAGATGGTCTCAAGAGATTGCTTACCTCGGTCGACGTAATCACCGAGGAAGAGGTAGTTGGCCTCGGGAGGGAAGCCACCGTACTCGAAGAGTCGGAGGAGATCGTAGTACTGTCCGTGAATATCACCACAGATCTAAAGAGGGCACAAGCAGGCAAGTCAGCAAATCAATTTTCTTGGTTGTGGCAAGCCCCAGTATAACAGCAGTGAGGACCTTGTGTTTCTCAAGCTGGATTGGCTGGGTCAAATCGAGAACATACCTTGATAGGAGCCTCAAGCTCGAGGAGGATAGGCTGAGAAATGAAGATCTCACGAGCCTTAGTGCAAAGGTAACGGATCTCGGCCTCGAGGAGTTGGACTTGCTTGCCAGGTCGGCTACCTCGTACCTCGAGTAGCCGGTCGATTATAGAGTCGAGATCGACCTCGTGTTGGTCTGCCATTTTGAAGGTATTTGTTGGCGAGAGCGAACCCGCGGTAGAAATGAGGGAGGGTCGCGTGGGGGAGGAGGAAAGCGACAGTCAAGATCCCTAATCAGAACAACTGCGGGGGTAACTTGTCGAGTGGAATATGATAGCAAATGGATATATGCACTTCACAAAAACCTGGCCGAGTCAGCCGGTGAAACCGGAGGAACAATAAGACACAAAATAAAGAGAGACGGAGGAAAAGGACAAATGGAAGTGAAAGAGAAAAAAATGTCTCCAAACTCGTAAAAACGCCTCAACCGACACAAAGTGTGAAAATTTGACGATGGATTTGAGGCAAAAGATGGGTTGCGTTGCGATGGTGGAAACAGCAAGGAGAGCCCGAAAATTTGGAGGGGAGAAGCCAGACAAGGTGCGTAGGTAGTGCGGGAGGGGAACAAGAGGGGAGACGAGACGAGACGGCGCGGCGCGGCGAACGAACGAACGAGGGAGCAATGTATGGGGCGCACCAAAAGGCATAGAACTTACCCGTGAAGGGATCACGTCTCTATCAGAGAGGCTTTGCGGTAGCTTTCGAGGATTGAAAGCAAAAGCAATAGCAACAGCAGAGAAGCTAATCAAGCAAATTGTCGATGATGAATTGAATTGCAAAGAAGCAATCAGATCACGTCCAATACAGGGAGAAAAACAGTCGTCGTCGTGGTTGCCGCAGTGGGCCACCGGCTTTGGTTGTTGATAGCTGTACCAGGAAGAGACGGTAGGTATAGAGCGTCAGAAAATGGGGGGCAAAGCCAAGGAGGAGAATAGAACAAAACACCGTCAGCGCGAGATTTGTTATTTATCCTCGTCCGAGATAATGAGTATGCGTCAACAAATATGTGACGCTTCGTCGCCTTTGTATGGTAAACAAGTAGAGGGCAGCAGAGAGGCCACTCGATCGTCGGATTTAGAGATGAGAAGTGATATTCTCGTCGTCGAAGTTATCGTCGTCTTTCTGTATTGTATGTATTTTGTGTTGGGGCAGCCAAGCGGGCGCGCGATCAGGGAATTTGGAGTCGGGTTTTTAGGACGGACACGGTGGTTCGTCGGTCGTCGTCTGGGGCCAAGGCAAATGGCGGAGCAGGGTTAATCAAAGCAGCTCTTCACGAAGATGGGCGGCTTGGAATAAGTTCGCAGATCGTGTTGGCGGTAGGCTAACACGGCGTTGATAACGTTAGATAGGATAACGTCTTCGTCTCGGTCGTCGTCGGGTTGAGTTTGAAGGGTTGAAGGTTTTCTCAGAACGGAAGGGGGAGGGGGATTTTTTTTTCACCTGCCCTCTAGTAGTAGCTTAGCTGGGCTGGGCTGGGCCTCTCCCAGGTCGTCACCACCACCAAAAAGCAAACTGACCCGGAGCCAGAGCCACCCACTGCTACAACAACAAAAAAAAAGCCTGGACCGTCTAGCAGCAGGAAAGGTACCCGACGCTTGGGCTACTATGGGCTGCCTGCGACGGTACCTGCCTTGCTCAAAGGACGCTAGTACAGGGCCCGAGGATTGGTAGGTTATGAGCTGGAATGGGACCCGGGAGCTGTCTGGGGATGTGGCTACAGGGATGACGACGCTGCTGGGACCGCTGAGCTGTAGCTAGCTTCAAGTAGAACGCCGCTGTAATTGAGCCAAGTGCAGTGCCGTTGACTCCCGTCCTAGCTGCACCTCACTCACTCAGGGAGGGAGGGAGCTGGATGTTTGATCGATCCGATGAACGGGGATCTTCACATCAAAGTTACCTCATTAAAGCTTGGCTCCTGATATCAATAAGACGTATGTACTCTACTACTGTACTGTAATGTTCATGTAACAACAAGACACTGGAACGCAGCCCATCTTGCGACTTCCGATCCGAGTCCACAGTAATTAGCTTCGTCTTCACGAACAGCACGGCAATGCTGGCTGTATTGTGCTTGTACACGTCGTCCTGGGTTACTTGTCTCGCTTCCTTGGCTGAAATCACAGTCTCATTTCTCTCTCTCTATTATTAAAACAGTCTCATTTACTTGCTGCCCGTTGGGTGCCCAAGGATGGATACCTTCACTTCAACATGCTCATTAGAGCAGAAGAAGAAAACCTTGACCCAGCTTTCAATAGAGGCAGATGGAAAAGGGGCTTCTGCATAGATAGCTTTAGCGACCGGATTCGTCGGCGCTTATTTCACCATGGAGGTCAATCTAAACCTCAGTTTCATACAGTAATTACCTACCTACTGCTCAGCCTCTCTCGGCTTTCTTAGCTTAATCAGTCCGCCAGTACCGAATATCAGAATCTTTCCCCTCATTAGTCACCTTAATAATACACCAAAGAACGAGAGAGAAGCTGTCGCGTGCGTTTTAGATAGGGAGATCTGATTCGACATGAAGCGCAGCAGCAGGGGGGCCCGTCGACTAAAATAAGATCCATATATTTTTAGCCATGAATATCCATTCGTAGAGATATGGAAGAATCTTGAGTCGTATTGCGATCGAATACGTAACATCCAATGCTCGTTTCTTCCGCAGTGTAGACTATTGTAGCGAACAAATTGCAGTATCCGTACAGTAGAGGCAAAGCTATGGTCTGGCTGCGGCTCCATACTTGCTAAGAACTAGCATCCGTCTTCACCTCCATCTCAACAGTGGATTTGATTATCTGGAGCATCTCCATAAACCCCATGGGATTTCTCAACATCGGGGCAATTGTGCGGCCTAGAATATCGCCACTCGGCTCTGACACGACACGACACGACACGACACATCACGGCGCATGTTCGAGTTTTGTAGAACGTTAATCCCGTTTTCAAGGGCTTATGTTTTCTCTCAACAACTGGAAACACCAGAACCAAGGCCCCGGTGTATACAAGAAATCAATACTTGACCGACGGAGAACTAGCTATACAAAGCTAAAGTAAGCTCAGGCCACAGTGGAATCATCGCAGTTCTGTAGACCTTCTCGTTGAGCCATTGATCCCACGTAAGCTGGATGAGGATATCGTCTAACCATCAGTGTATCACAACTTTAGGACTCTGGCTCTCAGACACGTCAGCCATTAAAGTAAAGGTGATGAATGGTTCGTGTGTAACCCAACTCGTCCTTTCTTTGATTTTCAACAAGGGAAAAATAACCCCAATCCTTCACCGACCATCAGCTTGGTCTCAACCACATTGCGTCAGGATAACACTTCTATACCCCGCTCAGCCCGCTTGACATGCAGTTGGCGAACGATAATGCAAGCTCGTCTGTCAGGATCTCTTTTAAGGCAAGCTAAAGCAACTGGAACGAAAGAGTGTGGCACTTCGTCATATCTATAAAATGTCATCATGCATCTGGCTACTAATCTCGATATCTCACACGTGATATCACAATTACACTCTTGATCAACACGACTAGCAACTGGAGGATACACTTTTTCATATCATGAAGAGGCCTTCTTAAGGGCATGATTGACCAGAAAATCTAGATTGTGTCATTAGTTTCCAGCTGTCCGCGCTAAGTAGGTAGTCTGTTCTCTATAGTAGGGAAAGCGATGTCGATTGAGAATACCAGAATATCTCGGTCTACAGGTTAGGCTACCAAGTACGTATCTGAAGAACACAACTTGGACGGAACTAATCTGAGCCTCATTGTAGGCGTTCCACGATCATTAATTTTATGCATTGATATCGTACCTCTTAGCTTTAAATATTCTCAAACAATCCATCGCTGAACCAACCCTTCCGTTTCCGCATTCCTTTGCGAGATCCTCCTCGAACGCCTTTTCCTACCATTGATTCCCCCAAAAAAGAAGAGCTAACCCTATAACTGCTTTGCCAGTGCTCCCTTTGAACGCCAAGCTCAAGTGCCTCCGTATAGCCCTTTGTAGCCTCAAGAAATAAACCCGTATAACTAAAACCACAAGTCAAAAATCCGTCTCAAGTGACGAGCCTGCCACCTCAATACGTTCGTCTCTTGGAGATCATCTTCTTCGAGTTGACGTCCTTCGCTTCTTCGCCTTACTCGCTCTGGTCTTACCACCCACAGACTCCGGCGCCGTATTGAGTTCCTCCTTCACGTTAGCTTCCACAGCAGCGGACGCCGCTGCATTATCGACATCCATACCCAGCCCTTTCAATTCCTCTTCATCAAGATCTGTGAGATCCTCACTAAGCGTTCGGACGGCATCTCTGCCAGCCCATTGCTCCTCAAGAACCGAAGTGCCCTGGGGATCGAGACCTTTGAAGTACCAGAGTACTCCACCGTCCGTGAGAGGATCGGAAGGCTCTTGTCCAAGGCTACCGTTGGACTGAGGTGGCGTAGGGGGCCCGGACTGTGCAAGTTGAGGCTTCGACACATAACCATCCGTGTCAGGAGGGGTGTCAGATGACTGCACAGTATTAGGTAGAGACTCCTGCGTCTCTCCTGCTTCTGCCTTTGCGAGTTCCGATGTATCCACGTCAATATTAGTGCTCACTTCGATATTTCCGCCATCCGATGTGGTATCCATCGCATCTCCGGCCTCAGTCGAATCAGCCTTGACAGTAATTTGAAGTTCAGCATCCACCATAATGGTATCGTTGGCTTCATCTGAAGGATCAACTGGTTTGTCTTGGCTTGTAGCAGTCGGTGGACGTCGAGCTTCCACACTCCTATCGATCGTGGTCTCCAGTTCCTTTTGTAGACTCTCGAATGGTTTCTGAGAGATCTCTGACTCGACTCGTAGAGCTGTTTCAAGGAACGGCTGCACTGCTTTCAAAATTCTCTTTCCTAGTTTGCGTCGTTCTCGAATATCTGAAAAGGTGTTCTTGGCAAGCGATGTATCATGAGGTTCAGTTTGAATCGTATCCGTAGAAGGTTGAGGTTCGGGTGTCGTAGCTATACCATCGCTGATGATATTGCACAAATCTATAGCAAACGACATTACTGTCACATAAAATCGGGTGTTTATGCGAGTTTGTAGTTTGTTCAAGCCATCTTCAAAAAGGTCTTTGTCCAGTCTAAACCAGTCAGTTGCTATCTTGAGCTGAGAAGTGAGGATTGCACTTACGATATCGCCCTGTCAATGGCAGGGTTGAGCAGTTTTGCGACGGGGAAATAACACTCATCCACAAATTCTTGTTCGAGTTCACCGGCATCCACCTTGATCTGTTCCCGTTCCACAACTTGACTTGCAAGATCCTTGAGCTGTTCTAGTTCTTTGATCAAATCTTCAGCGAAATCAATACGCCTATTCAATCTGGCCTTTCCGCTTGGACCCATCGCTGCAAAGTCTCGTCGTGTTAGCTCCATTGAGGAAAACGTCTCCATCTGGAGCTGGAGACGCTTCAAGAGTGCTGCACCACGACGTTGCTGCCGTTTGAGGGTCCAATAGCGACACGCTTCACTCAAGAAATCCTTGCGCTTGCGGAAGGGGAATCTTTGAATCGAAGCCTCAACAATCTCAAACACTGCCTGTGGTATGACCGGTGCACCCGAAGGCATCTTCCACAAGTTCTTTGGAGGCTGCCCCTTCTTCTTATCACCGGAAGCAGAGTTCTTGTTACCTGCAAGCTGTGACTCGTCCGAAGGCTGCTCGGCAAGCGCATCGCGATGTCGGGCGGCTATATTGTTGGCAGCAACTGTGTTCTCGGCCCATATGCGATTTCTCATAGTTCTTTTATAGAACTTCTTTGCTGCTTTTGTGGCCTGGTGAATGTTGTGTTCCTGCGCGTAGTCGGGAGGGCAATGTTTGTCGCAAAAGGCTTTGAGAACCATACCACCGTCTAATACAGCGAGAGCCCCCTGGCTCGTCTTCATCTTAAGAAACAGCCGGGATCTCCGAGCACATGTGACGTGAAACGCCTGGTAGCAGTTCTTGTTCCCGCATTGAATGCAAGCACCCATACGTTGCCGACAAATATAACATGTCAGCTTCCACCGGCTTTTTGGCACTTTTTCTACATCCATGACAGGTTCCATGAATGTATGATTCCCCAGTGAAACTTCAGGAATCCACATCGCGCAAAGGAGGTGAGCCCACTTAGATGAATTCGTTTGCTTGAATGCTCCATCAGTGTTAGGGCAGAAGATACAAGTCTGTGCAAGTTAGTATAACAGGCTACTCCTACGATTTGAAATAAACTTACTGGAACTCCCCGGCCACACAGCAAGCATTTGCGGCATAACCACTGGCCTTCTGGGATAAAAGGTACTCCATAACATTCTTGGTGGACTGCGAGGTTGCAGCCATCGCAGAACACGATCGCATTGGTGTTTTCGCAATCGCCATCATCACAAATAGCACACCTGGAGTCAGGCTCTTCACCTCCTTGTGGTTCTCCGTTGACCGCCGCAGCCGAACTTGATCGGGGGCGATGAGTCTGGGGCGGCTTCGGATTTGGCTTTGGTATTCGCTTTTCCAGCGCATGCCACTCTTTTTCGATCTTCGTCATAGTGATTTCGAAAATTTCTCGCGTTATCTCCTCAAGTTGATCTTCCTTACGAAGGGTATTCAGGCGCTCGAGCCACATGTCGTCTTGCTCATCCATATCGTACTCCACACGACCCATTCGTCTGTGGGAAGCCGGCTCTTCAGAAGATGTAGCATCAGTGAGATCCGCGTCATCTTCAGCGTGGAGGTCGGAGGACTTTATTAGAGTTTGATCGGGGCGCATGTAATGGTCGCTCTCTTGGTAACCGACATTACTCATGCTCTTGTCGACATAACGAGCCTGGCCAAACGTTTTACTCTCGAACAGCTCGATGCGATTGGTCTTGCGGTATGAAGGCATTTTGAGATCCAGCTTTTCTTTAGGTGTCTGATTCTGAATGGGGAGAATCTTGGGTGTTTTGGGCGTTGCCATAAGATCCAAAGGTCGGCTACTATAGAAGCTGACAACATCCCGGGTTGGCCGACGAGGACGACGTAAAGGAGTTTCAGTAGGAGCATCAGCTGTATTCGAGTCTGAACGTCCCTGAGGGTTGGGGGTGTTCCCTGTTGATGCGGGGTTCGGTTGCCTTGATGGTGTCCTCGTTTCGTCCAAAGGAGTTGTAAGCATCTGGGTAGCCGACGTATCTGGTTGCTCTTGGGGTAATCCATCGACTTGCTCTGACCGAAGAACCAGGAAAGTGGCCTCAATATTCAAGTTAGGATGGAAGTCTTCCCAACTTCGTTCTTCGCGGGGTTTGTAGTCTTCAGCTTGCTTAACTGCCGTCGCCATAGCCGCAGCGGAACCCCATTGCATTTCTTCCAAATCATCGTTTCCGGCGGCTCGTGTACGTGCCCCTCTTTCGCGTCGAGGCATGAGAGATGGTGAGGGTCCGTTGATAGCCTCGCGCGCAGCGGCTCGTGATCTCGATGAAGGACCAGCGGTGTTCGGTGTAGTCAACAAGTCAGAAGTAACGTAGCGACCGCCTCCACCAGCTCCTCCTGCGAGAAATCGGGTACCTGCTGGGGCATATCGACGTCGCTTTGGTGGTGGCTCGGTGGCAGAAGCTGCTGCAAGAGCCGCAGCTCTCGCAGCGCGAGCTGCATTGGTAGAACCTGGAGGACGACCTCGGCGACGCCCTGTGACAGGCCTCCTAGGAGTTGGAGACGCCGGAGGCATCATGAAAGAGGCCAGCAGCGATATATATGCGAAGGTCGAGTTGTCGTTGGCGAACGATGGGGATGGTTAATCGCGTCAGGGAGAAGGTGGCGCGTTGGCTCAGTTGGAGGCTTGGCGGGGTCAGCGATCATTTGAAAGAAACCATATACGCAGGAAGGGTCTCTCTATCGAATGACACGGGTCCAATAGTCGAAATGAAGGTTGGCTGATCGGTTATTGATAGAAATCGCGACTTTCAGGAGATACGTGACGTCGAATCGGCTGGCGGCTTTGCTTCGGGGCAATGATCCTGAACGCGAAGTAGGCACGGACCACTGGAGTGAGCAGGGGCTTGAACCATCTTAGTCAGCAGACAAACTATGGAAGACAAAAATACGTCAAGCATTTATATGCTACACAGGCGATACTCTGCTTGAGTTTTAAATTCCATAAATCTGACCTTGTGACTTACTCCTGCAGGCTGCAGCTCACATCCAGTCTGTTAGTCTTGTTCAGGCTTAACGTTCTGGGCTGCATGTACAACGTGGGGAACGGATCTACCGGAGCATTAAATGTCAGTCATTGCTGGATCTATTATCGAGTCTGACACGACTCATAATAGTACTATGTTTATAGATAACCTCTGTACCTCGACCTACCGGCCTCAAAAATGACGTGCAATTCGCTAGGTGGGTAGCAGAAGAGATGTCCTCCGAGGCTTAGGCTACCAAAATAAAATAGCCTAAATGCTTCTCTAAATTAGCATAGGATGACTAAACTATTTCGTCCCTCATGCTTATGACGGGTTAATTCTTCTGATACCCTGCGGGGTGCGTAGGCTTTGCTCCAGTGTATAATCCAAGTACCGGAGCTGGCAGTCTACTGTTGACAATTAGGTAATCTCATAGGCAAGTTTTTGGATTGGCTATGCAGGAAGATCTGGGTCAATTAAGCTACTAATCTGGGGTCCGTTTCGAGGTCCCATCGGGTTGGCGCTCAGTCCATGTCCACTCTTACTGAAACGAAACTTGGATATCCGTGTAAGCGAACTGGGTCAAAAGGCTCCTCCTAGATCTACGTTACCGCTTTTTCGACTTGACGTGTCTCTGTCTTGTGACATGAGAGGGTATTGGAAAACATGCTGCTCGTCCATGTACCAGCAAATCGTTCCTCAACGCTATGCTATCAATGACTGCAGATAGCTATACCGAAGCTGGACTAAACATTCACAAACTATAGGATCGACGTGTGCATGAGAGCTTTGCCATATTCACGATGGCCTCAGATCTAACTTAGCGATCCTAGTACTATATCTCCGGCCGCGGGACTGTCCTTGTCGATCCACATGGGCGGCCCCAGAACGGGTGCGATCTCAGCGGATCCATCTGCCGTCCACAGATAGTTCGGTGCCTGCGTACATGTGAGCGGTCAGTGAATATGTATGAATCTCCTTGGCTATTGATGTAAGCGATGGATTTGGACAGTGGTTACGTCGGTCCATGTATGGTTCGCAACCCAAGTTAACTCCAGGTACATGTGATAATCACTTGAAAGTCATGTCGAGTATTCGATAGAAACTTCTATACCAGGCAATTCAATAAAAATATGTCCAGTTTAAGTGTATCCCTGAATGGAAGCATGCGAGCCAAGAGCGGTTTCCATTCGAGCCGATAGGGTTGCTCAGGGTATCTGTAGTGAGGTCTGTGAGGAATTGCAATTGAGTATGTTATTGTGTTTTCTCTAATGTCGATTGGACTACGGTTGTCCCCGACTTAGACGACGGGCTGCTTTTAAGCGGGAGCCACGGGTACTGTAAAAGAATGAAGGTATCTCATCGAGATGAACTCGAAAAAAAAGAAGAAAAAAAAAAACACAAACCCACTGACGATTAACTTCGGACAACACAGGTAGAACTATTACCACTGTACGCGGCTAAAGATTTATTACTTTCCTGCATGCGATTATTTCCTGGCTATTCTGGCTGTATATGGTCAAAACTTGGACCTAATACTATATATGCTCTCCTGTCCGATAGTAGACTTCTTTAGCAATGCCCACCGACAATGGGTACATCGTATATAGGCACATGGCGTATAATCACGAATGATCCCGAGTCCTGATCAATATCTGGACTCTAAGACAAGACTCACCCAAGCCTCGCTTAGCCATCACCACAATATCATACCTCGCAGTGGTGATAGTCCACGCCCTGGAATGATGACGCCTCTCTAACTCAGACAATTGGTCCAAGCCCCGAACTTACACCACCTCCAAAACCTCCAGTCTCTCATCAGCCCGCCCCTCCGTCGACAAAGTACCGTCTACCTTTAGCCCACCAACTCAATCCCCTAGGCTATGTCAGGAACCAAATCAGCCAAGTACAGCGCCTCATGTCACAATTCATGCTCAATTTAGTCCCAAGCCTCTCAGGATTCGTCTTCATTTCTACAGCGCCATGCTAAAATGGGTCATGCGAAACTTGTGGTTGCTGACTTGGTAGCTTGGTCACGGCAGCCAATAGGCCGCTCCCATCTCTTTGGCTTCTTTCGTTGCGGCATCACCGGAGCATAGAAGGGTCATTTTCTTTCAGGGGTTGACAAGTCTGACAGATGACCTCTGAGACCATTCCCAGGGGTGTTTCCAATGTGATCTTGGAGAATCAATCCAATGCTGTATGACAAGACATGGTATGATGCTCAATTATGTTGCTATTCGAGAGCTACATACATACCTTAGTACCTAGATTAGATGGTCAGGCTCGTGTAGACAACTCCGGTTCGGCACTTGTAGCAATGAGACAATGGCAATTAAACAAATCAATGATTTTCGTGTATTAAAACAATGTCCAGGTCTTCACTATCGTAACCACAGATCGCATGACTATCAGACTATAGGTAAAGTCTTTTTTTTTTCTCTTCCAACCATGCCACGTAAAACCAGTAATGCAGGTGAGCAAATGCCCTTGTCCTCAACGCCTTGCCCAGACTCCAACGTGCAAACCAAAAACAAATACATGTTCATCTTCCTCCTAGGAAGAAGAACGACGAGCATTCTTTAGAATGAGACCCTTTCCTTCTATAGAGGCTCTTGAAAAACTGGAATCTCTAGAACAGGGGAGCAAGGAACATAGAGCTCCTTCGAATGCTTAAACAAATGCAGATATGCCTTCTGCTCAAAACGCCGCCTCGCTATGCTCCGTAATATCATTGCAAATGCCAGTAAATGTAAAACACAAAGATAGTCAAGCTTGGGCTGTTCGAAACCAAGCAAAACAGAGAATCGAATCATACCGAGGAGTCCAGCAAACTCCTACGGCAGAGAGGGTATATGGGTATCGTTTGGGGCCGGCCTCCTCATAGCGTAGCTCTGCTGGTGTCTCATCCTCTACTTAGCCCAAGGTTCGGCCGCTGTGGATGGGTTGAGCTTGAGGGGTATGTATGGGAGTGTGCGCTGTGCGTATGACTGTACTGGATGAGATGTTGGGCGGAGAATAATCTGCTGAACGATTGGGGGCCCAACTCTCTTCACTCAGAACAGAGAGGTAACCGTTGCCGACAGTGTTTCGCAGTGCTTCAATCTTCTGACGGTACATTTCACCACCAGCATCCCAGTCCTGGGGCTCCGTCCAATTGGAAGTATCATCGTTCGGAGAATAGATGGCAGGGATGTTGGCAAAGACGTTGGTGTCAATTCGTGGCACTTCGGGAGAAGTGACGGCTTGTGAGCCGGATGACAGAATGGCAGCAGGTAACGCTTGCGCTTCAGGTTGTTGGGATATCCGGTAGTTTCCATCGTTCATGATCTCAGCGCTGGGCTGCTTTACGGCCGGGTTTGCAGCTTGAACATCGACAGGGGTGGGGAAAGGAGGAGCGTCAGGAGTGGCCAAATCAACAATCCGTCTTTTCGGTGTCTTCCGCCGGCGTGTTGAACTTGTGTTGATCTCACTCATAACGGCCTTAGGGGTGGGGCGCTCCTTGCGGAGAACGATTGTTTCTTTGGGAGGGTTGTAGGCAATTGTTGACTTGCTCACATCAACTGTGGGAACCTCGGGAGCCTGTGGTTTGACAACAGGGATGGATTCGGGCATGGGAGGCCGGTCTATTAGGGAGCGTCTTTCGACATAGCTGGGACCACTGCCATCAATGACAACATCCTCTGTGTAACCAGGGGCTTTGCGGAACAGGTTGAAGATGGTGATTCGGTAGTCCTTGTGCGTGCGAGTGAAAGGGTTTCCCTCAACCCAGATCTCATGTATATCGGGAATGCCAGTCAATCTCGCAAGCTCCATTGGGTCTACCAAACGATTATCTCTCAAATCGAGCCGTTCGAGGGGAACAAGTTTCTCCACACCAGCAAGGCTTTGCAGTCTGTTGCCTCGAAGGTTCAAAGCGGTGATAGCTGGAAGAGGATTGCGTGTAAGAGATTGGAGTGAGTCGATCATGCATTGAGACAAATTCAGAGCTCGGAGGGCTGTCAAAGTAGCGAGGCTGTCTGGAACCTGGCTGAAGAGATTGGAGGAGATGTCAAGAGAATAAAGTGTGTTGGAAAGAGGTGCGAGGCTGTTATGGGGAATAGAGGTCATCGAGTTGTCAGCCAAGCACAGATGTCTCAGGAAGCGCCACTTAGAGGCAGGAAGAACACCCATAGCAAGCAAATTGCCAGAGCTGCCACGAGAATGATGATGGCCAGCCCAGGAATCGGAAAGACTGGACTGAGAGCTACCAGATCCAGAACGCCTCATGCGGTGATGGTTTCCTCGGATGGGGTGGGATTGTGTTCTGGAACTTGTTGGGCGTGGAGGCGAGTTGCTTCTGGGGCGGGAATGCTTGTGTGGTGTTTGTGATGCGTCGCTCTGCTCGTCGTCTTTGCACAGCGACTGCCTTCGGCTGCTCTCCTCGATGGCATGTTCACTGGGAGTCAATGAACCAACCCTCATATCAACATGGGGACCGGGCGAGCTCGGTGCGGAAACTGCACGGTTGAGCTCAGGATGCACCATGTTTCGCCGAGGGCTACCGCTTCCAGTCCAAACAGACGTAGGTGAAGATTGGGACTTGGAGACTCGTCTACGACGCTTGTCCATATCATCCAGCACAATGTCGATCAATATGTCGGCGGGGTCTTCGATGCCAGCGCGCTTTAGCGTCAGGGAGCGCAGCTGGTCGGCAAGCCGGTCCCAGCCAAAGAATTGCCGGAAATCGATGCTGCTAACTTCGAGAGCCTGCAAGTTCTTGAAAACATAGAGGGGAACAGCCGAATCAAAAGGAAATTCCTCATATCCGCGGATCAAACGAGCACGCCAATCAGGTGCCAATCTCAAGCAGGGGATTTTGGTGAAGGCAGAATAGAGGTACTTCATGTCAGCCTCCAGAGCAGCTTTTTGGCGCTCAGTTCGAGCGGCAGAGATGCTGGCACCGATACCGAAGCTCGACCACAGTGCAGACATTCCCGACATGACGCTTCGCATACTCGAGACAGAGTGTATCGAATCGATATCTGAGCCCTTGCTCCTTGACCGTTGGGTGTTGCTGAGAAACGAGACGTAGTTGGCTGATGACGAGCTGTCATGCAGGTTCTCGAGGCGAACCTTCATAGGACCAACATTGATACTGAGCTCTTCGAAACGAGAGAGGAGATAGAAGAGGTGGTGGGGTGTAAGTGCCAGCTTGGCGGATTTGACATTGTGTGATGTGAAGCTGAGGGATCCGAGCGACAAGGCGGCTGCGAGCGAACCGGATGTTGAGGCTGAAGTAGAGGGTCGTTCGGGGAGAGAGGTAGATGTTTGAGATAACAACGTCGCTGAACCAGTACTTTGAGACGGCTTATGTCGGACCTGGCGGCGTAGTTGAAGAGCATTGGCCAAGGCCTTTTCGTGCGTTCGAACGAAGCCGGCAAGTTGCTGAGAATGAGAAGATTAGTCAAGGTGATCTATGTCTCAACAAGAGAAGTCATACCTTTATGAACAGTTCTCCGTCTTCTGAGTCCATGGCTATTGACCACTACGCATAGAAGTGGGATGGAACCAAGAAAGGTGAATGTATATCGTTCGAGACTCGAGGGAGTGTAGGAACGGCTGCCGAGAAAACGAGGCGTCGCCTACGATATTAAAGACCGAGAGATTGCAGTATCGACCTGTTTCACGGCCGAGTTAGTGACCTGTCACGGTTGAAAACTTGACGAGAACAATGTGCAAAGCGCTTGCAAGGTGAGTAACACAATCTCTTTCGGTTCCAAGCTATTTCAGAACCCAAGAGGTGAATGCAAATGGGGAAGAAGCAAAAGGCACGAGTGTACAGAATACATGCAAACAAGGCTGATATAGCAAATCGCGTTTTGGTCGTCGTGACACAGCTGCGCTTTTCACTCGTCGTCGGTAATATGGTCAGGTTTGAACAATAGATCGCAGTCGTATGCCTGTGGTCACAGGCATTTGGGGGATCGCTGGTGGAAGCAGTCACGCAAGACAGGCGGGAAGCAGCCAGAAGGGGATCACAATCGACTTGGCTGTACCTTTGGGCACAATTTTTCTTCCTCTTTTTCTTTCTGGTCGCTGGGTTGCAGCGGCGCACTGGGAAAACGATGTTTGGCAGGTAAGGACGCAAGGTTGCAGAAGGGAAAGGGCGACTGGGTCGAAGAGTACAACGGAGTTAAATTTGCAGGCAGGTAACCGAAAGACGATTGTGAAGCAGAGCAGGCAGCCGAGGAAAAGCCAGTCACTTTCATCACAAGTCACCATCTCCTTCACCATTGCAGAAACAATAGCGAGGATGGGTAAACTCAAAAGAACCCCTCAGAATGTTCAAAGGCAAATGTCGACTCGACAGGCATGCAGCGAGAAAGAGAGAAAGCAAAAAAATTGCACAGAAGCATCACGAACTCACCTCTGAGGTTGTGGTGGGGAAAGGGCCGCAAGCACAGCAGCAGCTCTTGCAATCAAATCCGGCCGTCCAAAATCCAAGAAAATCGATTATAGTGACTCGCGACGTCCGAGTGCGAGCCCAAAGATGGTCCTTTGCGGCTTCGAAGAACCGATGAGGTGGTGGTCGAGGTTGGAGGAGGAGGAGAACGACGACGACGTCGAGGAATATGGTAGGAGGAGGACGGGAAGCAGACGCAAATGCAGAGAAAGGGTCCCAAATTGGGGCCTAGGTAGACTAAGTACCTCCTTGTAAGTGCGAAAGTGGGTGCTGTGCATGGGAGAGCAAGAGACCCGTTCAGATGGACGATAACTAAGTTGACCAGGGGGGTGGGTGTTGGCTTAATTTGACTGTCCGGCTGGGACAGGACAGACAGGATCAGATGGGAATCTTTTCCTCGCCCACTGATTCTCGCTGCCAATTCGACGGGGCCGGGGGTTCTTCAGTTTCCATTACAGCGGGCTCATCGCTTCTCTATAGCGGAGCGGACAGGACAGAACGGACAGCCAGCGGGCAGCGGGCACGCGCAGGCCTCTCAATGGAACCTCTCAACTCTCACACCTCACCTCGCACACTTTCCTGGCCTCGAGGACACCCTTTCACCTTTTTTCTGTCACTAAACAACACACCCCGGCTGGCTGGCTGGTTCATCAGCGGTCGTACGGGCGGCTGATTGGACCTGGAGCGGTCTCTTTGGGGGGCACGCACCCATCGTGCAAAGTACCAGTGACCAGCATGGTGGAGTTGCTCATGAGGTGCTCCGCTCCTCTCTGTTGATGTGTGGACCCCTTGGATCTTGAGGGTCTGCCGCTTGCGAGCTATCCCGGCCGAAGGAGATATTTACAGAAGAATCACCAGTAACGACTCTTGGGCAGCACTTGGCATTTTTGTCTCTTGCAGAAGAGTCGCATTTTTCGCAGATAGAGTCGCAATATCCTCACTTCTGTGAGGTCACCATACACCTTCTGCCTTGACGACATCATTCACGGTTCTACGCTCCTCTTGCAATCGCAATCTACGATATAGACGCTACTCGAAATGCTGATAATAACTCCGGTTACAATCACCACGATAACGACATTGACCATATAACGGCCCTGGCTCTTCAACCCTGCGTTTACTTAGCTTTGCTCGCATCAACCTTCATCTGCCCAGCCAGCACTATCCATCAATGCTTTGCCTTCAACCAATCCGCCCCCTGTATCACCGCATCTCAATTCTGTCGTTCTGACCCAAGATTTTTCCTGTCATCTTTTACCTCAACTCCGCATTTCCGCCTCTCTCTTAAGTTATATAATCGTTCCCTTAAAGTCGGTCAAGATAAAGTCCCATATATGTTCTTCTGGCAAACGCGAAGCACATCGCCAAATGACTTCATTGATATTCAGACATTCGGCGGCTTTCAAGACAAATCATCAACACCCGCTATTCTCAGACGGCAATTGTGTCTTGAAGCGCTGGCTAAGACAGTTCCACGGTTTTTCTCAACCAACCCAACCATCATTTGTTCATATTTCTCTCAGAAAGACACGATAGTGGCTTGGGAACATTCTTGTATGCAAATGCCGGTCTTTCAACTGCAACGGACTCGCCGTGAGCTCATGATACCTGCTACAGAATGACAAGATGAGCATACAACACACCCAAGCCTCTCTGCCAAGACTTCAGAGGTCTTGAGTGGGGTCGTGACATGGACTCCTGCTCGACTCGCTGTGGTGGGGGTACGCTTGGCATTGAGCCAGGATAAATGAGGACATGTCCAGAGAGGACTAGAGGCACAAGAACTCGGACGAGTAATAAGCGAGAATCCGAGTGCTGCGTTCGAGATTGGTGATAACCGTCCCGCTGAAATCGCCATTCTAGCAATGGGTGCAAGCCGCTTATTTCCTCTAGGGGGATCTAAGAACGTTGTAGCGTCGGGAATTCAGTCCCTGACGGGCTCCCAATACTGGACCTTCATTTCCTATTACCCGCCAGGAACAGTCTAGGCTCAACGCTTTGCAACGTAAACAAACTTAACAGCGACGATAATATCGTGATAAGACGGGGATGTTGGCCAGTGCGATCGAAGTGAAGATCCAGTGCGTGCGCGCGCCTCAGCCATCGTCAGAGCTCAATGTTCCAGGTCAATGGTCAATGTCTCACAAACAAAGATCGTGAGCACTGACAACGACAGATCAACAACACCACAATCCTTGTGTTATTGTTGTTGTTTATTTACTAACCGAAATCATCATTTAGGTACTGATAATGCTCACAATAGCATACTGGAACATTGCAACTCAAGATTAGATATCTCCTAGAAAGACATTTATGTGCAACAGAAACTCTCCCCAAAGTGTCGACTTCGCGGCACAGTTGCTCTCGAGTCGACAACTGAAAATACCCTGCCAGTGTATCGCCAACAGGTCAAAAATGATACTGTAGCTGCGGGAGACATGATATGCAGCTCTTCACTACTTTTGTCTATCTTCTTGGCTCTCTATAATCAATGACGCCGTTGATGGGATGCAAGACATTGTACATCCTGCCAGAAAGAAATCTCCATCTCAGTCAGGGCGTCGCACAACCTTCCTCGGTGTCCTGCTCTCGTGCCCTGGCATCATTTCGAAAATTGCGCGATGTTACCGACAGAAATGACTTGCGAAAGACAAGAAATACTACTAATGCAGACGCATACAATCGATTTTCATAGCTAATGACTAGCCAACCGTTACATGCTGTCAACTTCAAACGCCAAAATGCCCACTTTGATCAGCCAAATCATCCACACCAATTACACTCTCCATGAATTGTCCGTCTGCTACATCACTTCTTGATTCAGGAGCAGCAGCAGCATCACACGCGAATTCACAACACCGAACCCACCTGTAACCCAACGCGTCACGGTCCAGGCGTCTGTCATGACTATCTTTCGCAAATCTAAGACATGGCCGTCACGCAGTACAGCTATTCGCTAACACGAGACCAACCACTACGTACCGTCCAGTCCCTTATATACCTTATGCTTACACCACGCGCATTCCCGTCATGAGGCTACAGAGCATGTGGAAAAGACCCTTCTCTGCATCCTTACCCTTTGCTTCCTCGCTAAATGCCCCTGGTTCTTCTCCTGTTTTTTTTTTTTCGCATTGGATCTGTCAAGGCCATGATCCATCATAATCGTATCCTTGTGCATCTTTGCTGCGCCTTTGCTCTTTATCGGCGCCGCTTCAAGCGGAGCCTCTGGCCATTTTCTTGTGCCTCTTGGCGTTATGGCAGCGGTTATGTCATACCTCCACTGAACTGGAACAAGGTCACCCTTTGATTGGCAGCGTCGAATGTCATCTTGCTTCGAGGGCCTTGAGAGCCCTTGTCGTAGTTCCACTCTTGATGCTAGGTAGCAGGTACTTGGAGCCTGCACGTCGCGAAGCTATCTTTGTTATCCCTGTTGCTTAGTGGATGCTCATCCCGCTGCACATTTCAAAAAGCTCAGACTCACGATGATCTTCAAACATTCTCAGCACTTGCCAAGACAAGTCCAAAGCAACTGTACTGTTCGTTGTCTTTCACCATGCGATAGGGGACGATCGATATTGGACTATCCATATATGGGCTTTGTTCCCATCGTATCGGATTGCAAGAAGCCCATTATACTGACTCAGCAATATTGGCCGATCTTGTTCATCTCGACCGCATTTGTTGGCTCGGGATACCGAAACAAGCTAATTAATTGATGCTCGTTGAGTACAGTAGGCGCGGCACCCTACGATGCCAACAGTGGTACAACTTCCATCGTTGCATGGTGTTGTTACGCGAGGAGCACAAGCCAAGACTTTGTGGGACTCTGAGGCGACATGGCTAACTTGGCTAACCACGAAAACGTTGTGCCGCTTACCACAGTTGTAACGCGTTCTCGGCAGTCATTGATATACAGGCGACTTTTCCAGCATAGAAAGGGCCGAGACGAATCTGTTTGCATTTTGGGCCATGGGTAAGACATCTCTAAAGAGTCTTCTTAATCTCGATACTCTGCATTCGCACGATGTGCTCTGTCTACAGATCACCATCGCGAGAGTCTAGAACATTGAGTTCAGCGTCGACATCAGCCCTTCCTACCAAATTTGGCAATGTGTCTTGGAACATAGGCTGTTTGGATTATAAGCCGCTGCACAACAGTTCTTGCTGCAGTCATGGTCACAGACGCGGCATGAACAACATGCAGCCATCAAATGCAGCACAACACTGCTTGATAATTTGTTTCGATGAGAAATGAGGATATTATATAGGTATGCTGTAATGTTGATGCTTCTTGAAACTTTTTCTCGAGTGCTGATCAGGACTATGGTATAAGTTAACATGCTGCAATGGAACAGCAAGGGTCCAATGCCAGGAGCCCCGGTTTCTGTTATCGTGCACTGGCCATGACCTGGCGTTTCGTCCGTTGGTGGTCCGAGTCATGCTGTCTCGACAAGATTGTTTTCCCCGATGATACGGATAGACGATGTCTTAAAAGAACTGTGTTCCAGCCTCAGTCTGGGGAAACCATTTACTCCGTGAGTCAACTATGTACAAATTCCTCGGATAACAAATCATACCACAGACGATGTCGACAACTCCCCGGTGCGGTCTAGTGTTTTAGCGTATGCTCCCGAGTTGGACGAAGGAATGATTGTCTCGAACTTACTCACCACCGATTGATTACCTTGGGCGGTTTCACACAGCAGACCAAAATCAGTTATATCACAACGCTGAGCGGTTTCTATTACGACTCAGTCACCAAAAGAGATCAACAAACGGATGAAACACGTTTGCTGTTGGAGCAGTCTATCACCTGCCTCAAATGTTGCGATATTCATACCTATCTACACTATGGCTGCCTCTATCTAGATGCTAGTGGGCAGAGGATCTGGGGTGTGTGGTAGATATCCCCCACCCAGCGAATAACAAGCGGTCGTGTCCCTCCAACGTGGCTCATCAATTAGATGGCGCTCCTTTGCAGTATAATTGGATCGGCGAGTTTACACCCTCAACCTCGTTCGACTATTTGCGCTACGGGCGGATATTCTAGAAATCCAGACATAGAACCCAACCAATAGTGAGAGGGGGTGCTACCTTGTCGAGATTGAAACATAGAGCACATGACGCACGATCTCGCATTCCTCTTGTTTGATTTGAGGCTGCAGGAGTAGAAGCTCGGCCGACGACCGTGCTGGAACAGTCGATTATTTCTTTCTGTTTCGCTCATGATCCTCTCACCGCTGCTTGAGCCTTACCCCCCACAACTTCTAGCTCAACATCCAAGACTCGGGAGTCAAACATGACATACATGATGGTCAAGGATAAAGGGCTATTGATTATTTCTGGCATTTAGGAGCAGTACTGTACATGCCAATACGAGAGACTGAGTCAATTTGGTGAGTACATACATACATATGGAGATGTGCCGTCAGCATGACTTGTGCCGTGTTGAAGTTGCACGCTGTAGATCAACCATCAACCGATAATGTCGTCTGAAATGAAAGAGTCTACAGTACAATACGGCACAGGCCACTTGAAATCGAGCCTGACCCCTCAATGAGTCTACCTGCATATAAAATGCCCCTCGATCTAGTGGAGAATTGCCCAATCTCTTCTGACAACATGCCACATCTGCATCTCAATGGAAGGATCGCAGTGTCGATGACGAAAGGGTATCCTTCTGCCAAGTGATGGATGCGCAGTTCTTTGAAGAGATCTGGCAACTGCGGTGCAGAAGCCAAGCAGCCAAGCATCACAGGTACCCTCGAGTATTCGTCTACTACCGAGCCACCCCGCCGGCGCGGCTACCTGCACGCATATCATGACTGGACGTTGGATTTTTCGGATTCCCCGTGAGTTCTTTGATGGAGAAGAGTGATTGCGTGTGACCATGTTTCACCAGCGCCTGAGAATGATCGTCTGAATGGCTGTACTTCCGAAAGACAAAGAAGAAGTCAGGATGAGCAGGCTATCTGTACATTTATCCACACCCAGCGTCTGGCTGCTCCTATTAAGGGTGATTATCATTAAAGGCCATGCCCGGCATACTCCAACGTACTCTACAAGAGTTGAAGCATGGCATGATGCACAACCATGTTTAGTTGGCTTGATAGGCATGCGCCCTTGGCGGTGTGCCTACAGTTTTATTCCGTCATGTACAGCCCTACCGTACCACGAGATTTAATACTGGGCACTGATGGTTAAGTGACGTTGAAATGCCTTGCATGCATAGTCACTTACACCACGCTTTGATTTCTTGACGAGATGAGATGGGATGAGATGGCCGACAGTCATGGCATGGCACGGCCCTTGTATGGCTACCGTACTGTTAGTATTAGTCAAAGCTGTCAGATGCTTGGTGGCGGGGGCCAATGAACCCTTCAAGAGGACAAAGCCTCAAGGCTGGAGTCCAGAATTGGGGCTGATCTTCAACTTTGACAAGAATGGTTCCAAGATATCACACGCTAACCCCATCTCAGAACAAGGGTCCCCTCGTCTCGCTTCTAGTCCACTTCCTGCTGTGCACTTTCACCGCAAGCCGCATTCAAGCTGAACCAACCAGAGGCTCCTTGGTTTTATGACGTCAAGTCACTTCTATGTATTGATACTGCATCGGCAGTTGGTTTTGATAAGACTTCGGCTCTATCCTTCAGGGACCCAGACCTAGACCTAGACCTAGACCTAGACGAGGGTGATAAGTCCGAGTCCGAGTACAACTTCAACTACCCGATACAGTACAGTATGTAGATTGGCTTGGACCCTGATGTACAGGGGATGAAACTGCTGATCTCAAAGGGCCTTGGATCAACTCTCTTGTTCAAATTGCTGACATACGCTATAGAAGTTGTCGTAGAACGATTTGCGCTCCGCTCTTAGAATCGAGTGATGTTTGCAGTGCAGCATCGTCTGTTCGAGTTGAAGAAATGCCTGAGACAAAACAAAAAGAGGACACCCGCAGACTCTATGCCCCGCCTACGCACATCGGTGGATCTCGAAACTTGGTGAATCTGGCGCTTACTGTTCAGCCAGTCTGCGTCAAGGATAGCCTCGTTTCTTTAAAGCTGAGGCTGGCTGACCGCTTACCAAGAGACTGGACGACATTGGTTTGGAGGGGTAACTTCAGGTCCCTCTTCCAGGTTTTCGAGACTCATGGGGACTTTATCAACTCCACGATATTTTTCTAGACTGGGTTGTTACTAGTAGCCTCTCTCAGCTTGGACCCAGAATCCCCTCCTTATAATTCTACGCATGCACCTAAATTACATACATGTTCCTGGTAGGCGAGACTCTAGTCTCTTGGGAACACTCGATCCGAGGGCATTCCCATCCACGATTCGAAGCCCCGAGGATCGTGCCTGGCCCGCGGTTGACGTGCTCATCAGCCCCTGGCAGAAGACGTTTGCCGTCAACCTCAACGCCAACGCTAAGTTTGACGTTTGTCATTAGTACTCCCGAGTTCCTTGATATGGGAAACTTTCTTCTCATGCGTCTTTCTGGCGGTGTCCAGCCAAGAACATGAATATGTCAGCTCTTGGGCTCTCGGCTATCACAAGACCTGCGGGAATATCTCACCATCACGTTTGCATGGACTCTTCCATGGTCCTTCGAATCGAGATGTGGATATCCTTAGCTCTTCACTTGCTAAGACGAAGGATCCAACAAGTGGTGGTGTATGTAGTACTTGCTTGACGGTGCATCTCGTACCCGTCTATGAGGAGCCACTTAGATCTAATTGTGGAGGTGAAATAGGCCAGCCAAACTTAATCATACGTAGTGCTGAGCTTGTCCGTCACGGTGAGTCGTAGCGGTGTTGAATCGAGCGAACCATTTGTATATGGCAACACCTTGAAGCATGAGAGAAACGTTACTTGACCGCAAGGGCCCCATCTACATAAAACAACATGCCAATTTCATGCGCTGAGCAGATCGATCGATTCAATCACGTGGAATGAAGAACCTTCTTACACGAGTTCTCGAGATGCGTGAACAGATTCGCCCCCATCGTGATCTGTGACTCAACTGACACGCACATTGCTTAGTACAAGACCAGACTATCATAACAGCGTTACCATCTGGTTCCCACCTAAATCTTTGGTATACATTGCACAATAAAAGTACAAGCTAAAGCTCTCTTTAGCTCCTTGACGGCAATTGCAGTTTGCCGTCATTCACAACCCTTATCCTCAGATTTACTTTAGGGTAAGTAACTTAAGGCTTGGTTTCCACAAGCTTCTCTAATGTCCTGAATCCGTCGTGGGCATAACCTTGAGTAACATCCACCTTGTAGTTTTTCCCACTGACGGTGATGATACCGAAGCCCATATCAGTCCAAGCAGCCTTGACACCGTTGAACATGGCAGACAAGGCTCGACCCATTCTTCGGAATGGCATCGTGAACAGGTGCTGCATGTCAAACTTGTGCAATGCCTTGCGCTGCTCCTCTGTCTTTTGCTGCAGCTCAATGCGTTTCAGCCCAGGCACATACTCGTCTGGCAATGAAAAACGAGACTTCAGGGTAACTTCGTCTAGAGGAGCGACGATGACCTTGGGCTTAAGCATTGGAACCATTCGTTTAATAGTGAGTTCCATCCGTACAGGTGTAGGGGTAGCAGTAGACCCCGTAGTAGCGACCTTGGATACTTGTGCAGGAAGAATGCGCATCTGTCCAACAATATTGGGTGTCTTCGTGATCATGAACGTTCCCATGGACGCGAGGAGGAGATAAGTTGTACCAAACACCAGACCAATCCATTGAGGGACCCCTTCAGGCTGCTGCACAGCCATAGGCGCAGTAAGGCCTGTCCAAATGATCAAGGAAAGTCCACTGGACCAGCAACCAAAGTAGAACCAGAAGTGCGAAGGGCCTTCGTAGAGTACTGTCGGAGTTGTCTTGGAGGCTAGACTCTTGATAAAGGCGTATCGACTAGGTGCAATTTGGGATGAAGGCGCCCTTGATGACTTTGGTGATCGAGTAGCTTTCACTGCAGGTTCGGCAGCCCGGCGTAGGGAGGTAGAGAAGAAGCGGGATCGGAGGAGTAGAGACTCAGCGCGAGGAACGAGGAGGGGTCGTAGGCCGGGAAGGCAGAAGCCTCTTGCAAGGCTCGCCATGGTGCAATTGAAGCCGCTCGAAAGAGACAGACTGTACGAGAGGAAGTGAGAGGAGTTTAGTGAGGGAGTTGACACAATTGACCAGACGTCGCCAGACAATCGCCTTGACGAATTTCAGTGGCTCGACATCGAAATAGCTTCAGTTTAGATTATTAGCAAATGCTTGAGGTACATGATAAGATAAGCGGATATAAGCCGGATATGAGAGCGGCAATTGATGAGCGTAAATCTAGGATTCAACAAAATGTTCAAGGAGAAAGACACAAATGAGCATTTTGAGACAATGAGGGAGATATTATCATCGCCTAATAACTTAAGATTTGAATTTATCTGTATACCTTTTCTTCTTCTAATACCAATTCTTTATTATTAGAGCTCTACCGTCGATCAAATGGCTTTTCGGGACACCAACACCCGAAGAGAAAGTTTGAGTAGAAAAATTAAGTGGGACATGAGCGATATGAGCATCAAGTACCTATCAAAATAACCTTTTAAAAAAAGAGATAGAACTTATAAGTAATAATTAATCCAAAAAGTAATATTAACGATTACCTAGATAAGATCAAATATACCACCTATAACAACACCTAGGTAATTCTAGGAGCATATAATAAAGACCCTGAGGGTTTTATGTCTTCCTTGTCGCGTATTCCCGCCCGCCAAAATTTAACGTCGGGTCTCCACTAGCGCCAATGGATCTCAACAGCTTCAGTTGAAGATAACCCAATCCTTCTCAACACCTCGAGGTCGCTCTTACGTGCACCGAATTCCCTCCTCTCGCCCGCCTCCATCTCGCCGATCCTCACCTATACCTCAATCGAGTAGTACAATGGCCTCTCTTTCTGCAGCTTGCAGGGCATCTGCCCGAGCTGTTACTGCTCGGTCCGCTATCGCCCGTGGTATGTCGATTCGCTGATGTTAAAAATCCCCCCTCGGTCCCTTTTGTCGCGCACCGACTAACACACATCCTCTCATGCAGGCTTCACCACCTCGACACGATGCCTCGCCGCCCAGAACTTCACCATGCCCGCCCTCTCTCCTACCATGACCGAGGGCAACATCGCTACCTGGAAGGTCAAGGAGGGAGAGTCTTTTAGCGCTGGTGATGTGCTGCTTGAGATCGAGACCGACAAGGCCAGCATGGACGTCGAGGCCCAGGATGACGGTATCATGGTCAAGATCATGGCTGCGGATGGCAGCAAGGCTGTGCAGGTTGGATCGCGCATCGGTGTCATTGCAGAGGCTGGCGACGATATCAACTCCCTCGAGATCCCCGCCGAGCAGACCAAGGAGCAACCTAAGGAACAGTCCAGCGCCCAGGCGCCCAAGGAGGAGACTGCCCCCTCCCAATCGAAGCCCGTCGAGCAGAAGAGCGCCAAGCCCACTGGCAACGATACCTACGAGCACAAGTACCCTCTGCTGCCCTCAGTTCAACATCTCGTCAAGCAGAAGGGCATCAGCGAGGCTGATCTCAAGAAGATCAAGGGCACAGGCCCTCATGGCCGACTCGTCAAGGGTGACATCCTCGCCCATCTCGGCAGCATCAACCCCGAGACACCCGCCGCCAACGAGACCAACTTCAACAACTTGTTCCACCTTGATCTTAGCAACATCAAGGTCGCTACGACACCTGCTCCTCCTTCCAAGCCAAGCCCCGCTGAGGACACCAAGGCCGAGGAGTCCAAGGCACCTATGCCCGAGGACCTCGAACTCTCTATCCCTATCACCTTGACCAAGGTTGTCGAAGTCCAGAACCGAATCCACGAGACTCTTGGCGTCTTCCTGCCCATCTCTACCTTTGTTGGCCGTGCCGCCGAGGTCGCCAACGATGACCTCCCCCCTACCAAGCGTGCTCCTACAGCCAACGAGCTCTTCGATCAAGTCCTTGGCCTCGACAAGGTCAAGGCCTTCAATGGCACTCGCGGCGTATACCTGCCTCAGATCGCCGCCATCCCTCCCCCCTCTATGCTCTCTCACCGACCTGCACCCAAACAGGCCGATATTATCGACTTCCTTGCTGCCCCCAGCAAGAAGTCTGCCCCCAAGTCCGCCACCATCCACACAGTCCCTGGTCTGTCCAGCGGCGCCAACGTGTTCACTCTGAAGGTCCCCAAGGCCGAGGAAGAGCGAGCATTGGTCTTCCTTGAGCGCTGCAAGGCCATCCTTGAGCAGGAGCCTGGACGACTGGTGCTGTGAGTTTATGAAAAGAAAAATATCCCTGTAATATATCGTTTTTTGCTATAGACAATGGCTAGTAATTGCGCATGGGCGCACCTGTGGTATGATATGTCTACGCCTTTTCAGTGGTTTTGGCCAGATAGCTAGAACCAAACCCAATTATGAATCAAGTTTTGATGCCGGAAAAATCCTGCCCTTTACTTCCTTCTTGTTCCCCGATGTTCAAAAATAGAATGCCGAGCAGGCCTTGTTTCTTTACATTGAATAGAGACCGCAGGGATGTTTCATCTACCGAAGAAGAGAAGCCTTCGCGTATGACATGCTACCTCGATCGACTCCTGACTGCAGTCAAGGGTCCAGGGGTAAACCAGCGATATTCGCAAGTGTCATAAAAGGACGTCGACCTAATGTCTGCGATGACCAATACCCCGCGAATCAATTATATTTGCTAGTTGCCAAGAGTTGTACCGAACAAGACATACTCTGACTTGTCGTTTTCCTTAAAGAACACACAGCTCTCCATTACAACATCCAAGCAATTGCTACCTCTGGCCAGTTCTCCTGGGCCAACTTTAGATTTGGTGATGGGTCCTGCTCCCCGATACTGTCAGCTCGGCAGACCAAAGTTCCTGACACTTGGCACGACCAATGAAGGATCGACGGTCAGCTGAAAGTCGAGTCCGATCATTAACCAAAATGTATTGCGGCCTTGAACAGGAAATGCCTCAGGGCCGAGCTGTAAGCTAGACCATATCATGGATAGATCAACATGTATGTATCAGTTGTGACGTGAGTGAGTGAGTGAGTGTCTTATATCAGATAGTAAGCAATTTAGCCGATGCCAAACATAAAGTACAGTCAGTCGTTCATTCATTCATGCAAGAGATGGCAATAGTCTGTTGTCGCTTAGCCTGCCACCTTGCATACAGAGATGTTAATCATTGAGCTAACAGCCTCTTCCGCATTACGCGAGTGAGACTGAGTTATGGGATGCTGATTGTTCAAAGTAGATTGTGGCGTGTAAGTGTCTCGGAAGTTACCAATGAATCCAAGAACCCGGTCGAAGGACAATAGCCCAGGTCCTCGATATCAAGAGTGGTGCAAAGTACCTGACCTAGTCCGATTCTGATGGCATCGAATGGCATGCTATTCTGCGGCCATCGCTAAAGAAGGCCTAGACAGGGAAGAAAAAGGAAACACCCTTCTCATCGTAAGAGACTGATCTTTTTGTCAGTCGGCATTGGCTGCTGCAAAAGGAACGACATCCTTGCAAATGCAGAGACCTAAACTAAGACATGCGTTAGAAAGAGGAAGGAGAAAAGAGGGATACCACCGTGGGTATGGTGGTGGAATGTTGATAGATAAAGAGGAGATATTGGCATTCGCGTATTATTACGGACAAAAGGATGACTAAGGAATAGAGCCGTGTAAGTCTCACGGGAAGGAGCACGGGAAGGAGGTAACACAAGATCTTTACTCGCATTCGAATTCTGTCATGTGGAATGAACACTCGACCTCCATCGTTCTTTCTTCCGACTACCTACTTACCTACTAAGGCTGCTAACCTACTCGATACGGGTAGGTGTGTCGTTTTCCTCCTTTCCCGTCTTCATCACCACGAGGCAACGACAAAAAACCTTCACCGATTTCCGTCTGCACAAGGCATCCTTCAACACTTGGCGCAAACATTTGCGAACCAACAGAAACATTTATATGGATAATGAGCTTTCAGCACTTCGCTCGGAGCTCCACACCACCAATATCGGATCGCTTAAGCAATGAAGACGTGTACCCCCTCCCTCACTCGACTTCTCCAGCATTTGCATGTACCGAGTCTAGAAGAATCAACACGGGGTGATCGGGCTTTAGACTCGGGCTCATCGAGACAAGGTCCACATCATTCCAGGAGTCCTCTTTAACAACATGTTTGTTGGAAGTCTCAGCTCTGCCCCTCACATTAACACTACACGACCGCATGGCCCCCCGTTTGAGCATAGAGATGCTGGGATCATCACGACCAGCGAAGAGGGGACTCGTCTCAATCTCAAGTTCCACTATGTATCCTCCTCGTACGCCACATGTTTCCTACCAGCCTTTTAAGTTTGCATTTACTGCTTTCATCTAGTCACATAACAACAGCCAGCCCTTACCATACTGTCGGGACGGCTTCTAGCTGGATGTTGTGAGCCAAAAAGGTTCGCCTATATTCGCAACATGGATAGAAGGAGTCACTCGATCGCTGTGCAAGCTATTGGGTATACCTTAGTACCCTGCTGCATGAGGCTTGCTTCTCGACTCCATCTCCTTGCACACCAGCAATACTGTTCTGTTTCGAAAGGAGGAAACTCTTTATAAAAGTCAAAGACCGTCCAGGATTACATCAAACAGGCGTACTTCACCGTTCCCCGACATTTTCGACACTCAAAACCTTAGTATTGCAGCTCGGAGTTGACCCAAGCTAAATATACTACCTTCACTGTGAAACGCAGTAAGGAACATCTATATACTGCTTACACGGCTCTAACAAGTGTAGGTACTGAGTAGTCGACATTTCCCTGACTTTTCCGTCTCCTCATTCTGGTTCTATCTCATGAAGATTGAAAGATCGTCTTGATCAAATCACTATTAGCCATACGTTTCGTCACCGTTCCTTACAGCAGAGACCTCATCTTGCAACTTTGAGTTCCCAATGGCGAACATCAAAGTCGCCTTGGATAAGAGGAAGAGGGTACCGAAAGTTTGCAACACCTGCAGGCAACGTAAGCAGAAAGTAAGCCAAGCACATTCCTTAGCTTCAAGCCATTATTGCAGGTCTTGTTTGACAAGCACTCACTCTGGCTATCAACGCAACCACCCTCCCCCACTCTACGAGAGTCGATCGCCCTGCGCTTTCTTACCAACACCAAACTCTTGAGCGTCAATGATAGCAACAATACCCAAGTGACAGTATGACCAGCCTGAGAGAATAGCTGGTTCTTATACTGCAGAGTCTTTGGTCACTAACGTAACTGAATTATAGTGTGATGGCCAACAACCTTGCAAGGAATGCCGTAAACGATTAATGGAGTGCAAGTACCGGCCGAACATCTCTACTGAATCGTTAAGTGATTCTACTGCGTCTTGCTCGCCTCCAAGACACAACTTTAACGGACAGTCTCCCGAAGAAGCCGAAGGCTCGGATACACCAGACACAAATGGAATGACATCTGATCAATCAAGAAAGAGCAAACCGATAAGCGCGGAGGGAGACTACGGTTTCCGTATTGTCCCTACCTCAAAACCCGAGGAGTTTGGGAAACTCTCTCACATAACGTCGGATTGTCAGCAGCAAGCTTTACACCTTCCTCTGCTAACATCTCCAGTGTTTGCTGACTGCTCTGCTACCGAATCTTTTATAGCTCTCGCCAAGCAGCATGTGAAGCGAGCCTCTGGATCCTCAGAGTTCACAACATTGAATGCCGGGCCTGCACTTCAGGAAGCCAGCTCTGCCCCTTCCTGCCCATCGTGGCCGCCTGATTTGACTCAACACGCAGTCGACAGAATAGTGAAGTCCTACTTCAACAATGTAAGTCGCTATATCCCCATATCTGCAAAGTACGAGACACAAGTATATTGATCATGAGTTAAGACGCTTGGTTTCATCGATGTCATAAGCCACGAATCGGCCAATGCCATACTGAATCAAACCTATAATCCGCAAAGCCATGTATTGAACTCTGATCGCTGTCTCATCTATCTGATACTCGCAATTGGGCTCGCCCTTGACTCCAGTCCAACAGAAAGAGCGCTACAGGATCCCAATCTCAAAGAGCGCTTTTTCACAAGCGCCGAGTTGATTCTTCGACCAAGCGAAACACGTGAAGGATCAGAGAGTCACAATGGTGTTCCATGGACTCTTCGGGCTCTTGTGTTGATGTCTTTCTACATGTTGTGCGTATCTAGGCGACACACTGCACATGAATACTGTGGTAAGACAAGTTTCCTGTACCGTTTGCTTCAGAAGAAATAATGCTTATTGTATAATCCAGGTAGAGCAACTCGAATTGCTCACAAATTCGGTATTCACCGAGGCAAAGAGACCGAATCCGAAAGCTCTTCTGATACTGGAGAGTGGCGAGTGTCGAGACGCAACGTTTGGCGAAGCCTCTTTATTCTCGATAGATTCCTTGCCGCTACGCTCGGCAGTCCCATGGCTATCCAAGTCCAGTATACCGACGAGTCTCTTGTACTGAACAAAGGCACTTTACTCAATCCTGCGGTCGACGCATGCCGAATCATTGGCGGAACTATAAATTGGATATATTCGAGGTCGAGGTCCAATATATCGATGAAGGATGCGAAAATGTTGATCAGGCATCTCGACTCTCTCACAGATCCTGAAATTGATGGGCCCCCTTTTTTGGTACAGGTCTGTGTCCATCGTGTGCGCTCGCTCCGTATCTATGCCGACATTCTTCTTTGCCGGCCATTCTTCTCTTTTCGCTACGTAGCCTCTACAGCAAAGCGCGAAGCATGGGACGATACGGAGCCACAAATCAGCGAATTGTCTCAGAGATGCGTCTCAAGATCAATGCAGGCGATCAACATGCTCACGCAGAGCACTCAGACTCTCCATATTGGCCCATTTGCCCCGTAAGGAAACACTGTTAATCTTTCTTGATTCCTTACTGAACAGCTCAAGATGCATCTTGTCGGAAGCAACATGCGTACTTCTATGCAGCATGTATGCCGGTATACATGTCACCACAAATCATTTATCATTGGTTAAAGACGCTATAAAAGTTCTGAAGACGATGGCCAGAGCCGATCCTTATGCGGAGCATTCCGCTTTAGTGCTCAGCATGTTTCTACAAGACATCAGTCGCCGGGACCATGCGAGAGTTGTTAAGCCAAAGCTTGAAGGACAAATACATCAGCCCAAGATGGAGCATAATGCTGCATACGAATACAGTCAATATCGCTCACCTTTTTATCCAACAACGCCGGTTAATGTGGTACCTCCACATGATAATCGACAAAGATCAACACTCGAAGACCGTACTATCATCAAACGAGAAAGCCGCGAGCATTCGCACTCCTTCGCACCTATGTCTTTCCCCTTACGCATGGATAATAGCGTATTTCAAGCTCAACTTCCAACCGGGTATATGCAGCATCCATGGCACGACAGCCACAGTGGTGATATGGATATTGAAGGATCACAACATGGATGAGAGCTTGATGATTAGAAGGTCTGCCAAGGTGAAACGTCAGTCGAAAAGGCTTGGTCAAAGTTTTCATATATCACAATTTGCACTTGCGTATTTGAGAGCAAGGATGTTAGCACATAACGAAACTTACCTCACGGAAGGAATCTCTGCTCCCACAAGTTCGTTCACTACATAATAGAAATGCATTTCATCTATGGCCTGTGACAAGGACATGGAATACAAATCATTCTCGTAAACGATACTTTTCACTGGTTTTGAGTCCGCTTTGAGCAGTAGACTACATGGAATGGACTGATAGCGCGATAGTTGGGTGTGATTAGTGCTCAGGAAACTCATCATTCTCAATTCCTACGACATTCTTGTATGGTTATCAATACAGTTGTTCATCCTTTTGACAAGTCGAAGGCTCTCGCTAAATTGCGATCAGAGGCAACGAGGGAATACGAGGGTACCTTTAATATTACTTGCATGTTGCATGCGAAATTCCTTCGCGATGTATCACATTCTCCAATAATCGATTCTCTACTCGGTCGCCACTATGCACCAAGAAGGTCGTGCTTGCGTGGTCAGACATTCATGCATGTTTGTCCGATCTCATTCGTAAGGCTCATGCAAGTAACTCAATGCAACTCAACGTACCTAAAGAGAGAGTGCGAGAGCTAGCTACCCTTGTTTCCGGGTACGTGGATTCGTTCCCTTGATAAGCCACACGCTATAAAATATGCAAGATGGCGGTAGTTGTCACAGCGAACTAAGCAACGCTATGAGCTACAGAATCATAGTAGTCTTATACGTTACTGGGAAACACACCCATATGTATGTGATCTATTACTCACATATTTCGTACAAGTCCTAGTCTAGGGCGGCGTTGAACTTGCGGGCGGCGGGCTTATTGTCCAGTTGCATGACAGGCGCCACGTCGCATCTGACTGGCTCTGTTTCATGGTGTTTACATATGTTCAGCTATTCAGGGGCCAAGATGTCTCTGACTCGAAACCGAAAAGCATCAGCCACCAACAAACATAAACCAAATGTGCAGTGCTGTACTGTCTCTCTATATAGTCTACGATATACAATGACTCCCCTTCATGTGCACATGAAGCACCCCATCATCACCAGCTCTTAGGCCCGAACCGCTCTCCCTCGGCGACATGGGCTTGTATCGCTGTACCCTGGACATCCATGGTCGAGGATACAATGTCGTTGCCCCACCAGCTTGGCGGATCTATACCATGCAGGGTGAATGCAAAGAAGATGAACAATGTCGCAAGGGCGAGCCCAAGATCGAGTGCTGACGATGTCAGGAAGTTGAGTCTCGACCACCATCTGAAGTGGCGCTTCTTGACCCAGAATTGGAATATGAAGCCGACGGCACCCCACGAAAGGTAGTTGAGTGGTGTGGCGGGAGGCATAGCCCCTGCTCCCCCAAAGATTAGAGGTGCCATGAGGAACCGCACTGGAGACTTGGGCCTACGCTTGGCCAAGAAGTAAATGACCACGGGAGTGATGGCACCAATGATGAAGAAAACAAACAGACCAGAGTAGACTTGGCCAGGCGAGAACATGCGGGCAGGTCCGAGGAGGCCCCAGATGATGGAGGCTGCAAAATATGCATTAGATCAGAAACATGTTAGACTCGGCATTACACTTACCAGCGAAGAAGACGCGACCACCAGGACACGTAAAGTGGTCAACCTGGTGTTGCTCACAGACATCGGGGATATTGTTCAGAGACAGATTCAGAACGATGATCTGAATAAAGCACGAGAATGTTGTGGCAACAACTTGAGACAGGAACATGGTTCGAGGAGGGATTTTCATGTAGTGTCCAAACTTCAAGTCCGAGACAAATCGAAGAGATTGCGCCCTGTAGGGTGTGAGCATGAGTCCTGGGCTTTGAGGTCTTGGAGAGTTGAAGGGCGGGGAATTGGGACTTACATCGTGATGTATCCGTATGTTTTGAAACTAGTTTGAGTCGGTGTAAGCTAGATGAGATCACGGACAAAACGGAATAAAACGAGACATGTTAATGCTTACATCATTAGAGCCAGCGGTCGACCTGGTTGAAGGTATCCATAGATGAACTCTGTCAAGACATTCAATCCAATTTGAGTGTTTGTCACAGCTTGAATAATGCCTATGGGAAGAGCAAATCCAAAAGAGATTGCAATAGCGAGTAAAAAAGCCCACCAAGAAAGATTTGTAGGATAGCAAAGCACTGTATAGAATCCGATCAAGAGCATCTGCATTTCTCATCAGCCAAGTTTGCATGCATAGAGGGATCGGGTTTAGAAACTCACAATAGCGAAAAGCGACATGTACCACCAAGTAGGCGCTTCCTTGTACTTTTTCATAAGCTTCATGTGGATATCAGGCTTCTCGTTTGTACTATTCCTCCATTGCTGCCAAATCTGCTTTCCGTTGTGCAGATAAGTGTAAACGACGAGTGAGGATATAGCAGCAAAGGACAGGCCGTAAGAGATGGCAAAAGTTGTACTTAACTTGTCAGCTTCTGTCTGTGATACACTAGAGGGTTTATCATACCTGATGAACAGGGGCGAGTAGTTCTTGTACTCCTCTTCGTTCAGTGTGAAGTCTTTTGTGAGGATTCGCGTGGTGTTGTAGCGGGCTCCGGTATTATCATATGTACCCGAGTCGCTCATTGGCAAATACTCGCCATACCATGCTCCTCCGTAGTGTAGGAAAGATGATCCTATGACGAAGAAGACCACGACACCGATAAGAGTGTTGGCGATGGCATGCCTATTCACGATCAACACAGTACTACGCTAAGAGATCAATACGTATTGCACATACCATGGTGGGATGAGCGGCGAGCCAACGTATCCTGCAATCTGGGTCCAGTCGAAAGTAATGGGAAGAAGAGACAACCCAGTTTGGCCTCCGAACAACTGGTTCACAACAGGATTCTGAGGAGCCATCCATGTCGCTACAGCAAAGATACTCAGGAACTGAGCCAGAAAACCCGGGATGAAGTAGTAAAAAAAGGAACATGCTGTTACAATAACAAACCATTTGTATCTGTGCATTGTGCCTCCCAGAATACTGGGATCTGGAGCATCGTTTCTCTCATACATGGCATTCATGAGAGTAACGCCAGCAAGGTTCTCGGGCCAGATCATAGATGCAGGATACACTTGAAGAGACTGTGAGCAAAAGAATTGGGATCAAAGGTCATTGACTTACCTAAGAACTTTCGAAGCATGCCTGCGATACCATAGCCTACCGATTGGGTCGATATGGTCAACAGAAGCTGGAACACAATGCCAAAGTCCTGCTTGTAGAATACGAGTTGTGCTAGGATGATATCGGTAGCATATGCTACAGAGAACGAGACACTTGCCATGACGACGATGATGGCATGTTCCTTTACGTTGAAGGGTCCAGGATTGAGAGTCCATGTGATGCCAAAATTGGTAAACTCTCGTTCTGGCACAAACTTGGCCCAGCCATGACCCATCGGCCACGCTACGATTTGGGCGATGAGAGGACCAATGCTAATGGACGGTTGGCGAAGAGAGAATAGTGTGTTCATGGAAGCGCCCACGACGACAAGGAGCATCCCAATAGTCCATGCCCGTACTGTATTGCACGGAAGATCTTCGTCAAAGTTGCGCACCGCAGCCCGAACTTCGGGAAAGGGCGAGTTCTCTTCTTCCTCATCCTCGTCTTCAGCATCGCCATCCTTGATCAAAGCCACTTCATCTTCAGAATCTCCCGAGTTCTTTCTTCTCGTCTCATACTCGCGAGGGAGATTTGGATCCATGAGAAGCTCATACTCTTCGCCTTGGTCATCTTCGTCGTCATTGCGTGCTCCAGTAGCTGCCCATTCATGAAGACGATGTTTGAGATTCTCCGATGATGAGTCTTCGATTTCTAATGATGTTGAAAGTCGCCCACTGGGACCTGCGATGCTTTGGCCAACGGGTTCGGTTGGTCGTGCCGACCCTGGCTTCTGTTTTTCAGGCATTCGAAGCTTGGCTTGCCCTTCTCGGATGTTGTTGGTTGCAGTGCAGATCGAGCAGATCTGAAGATCGCCCTGTCACAATCTGGACTTTTCCCTCGATCTCAAATCACAAATCTGTTGTATTCAAAGATGCCACTTGGCTAAGAGAGTAGTATGTCGTCTGAGGTGAGCACAGCTTCACCTCGAAGGAATGACTACTGGCTTCAAAATCGATGCAACGGTCGGAGCGAACAATGAATGGCTGTTGACACGAGAGAGTTCTATGTGCAAAAGAAGAGATTGGCAGGACAGTGGCTATGATAAGAGGAGATATAAAATGGATGCTGTTGTATGAGATTCGTTTCGTGTCCTTTGTTGTTTTGTGGCGTCTATTCAAGCCTGGAGTCGATCACATCCCTGTAAACGAATGACGGATGATATATTTATATGTTGTTGGTTCGATTCATGAGATAGGAAATGCAAATTGTTTGTATGAAGAGAAAAGAATGGGTGAGATTATTTCGAATGTTGTTGGAGGCTTATCGTGAGAATATATCGAGGGAGGTACCCTTGGTACTGTACCTGCCTCCTGTATGTGTATGCGTCTCAAGATCTAGCGCTAAACCAAAAGTGGAGATTCTTGAACCGGACATCCATATTCAATATGACTTTTACAACCATCTTCTCCCATATTCATTAACAGCTTATTCTCATCAGACGAATAAATCTACTCTTCTTTCTTTTAGGCATGGTATCATAATGCGCAGGGTAGTAGTGACGGGCCTCGGAGCCATTACGCCCTTGGGAGTAGGCGTAAAACGAACCTGGTCCCGTCTTCTCAATGGCGAATGCGGAATCGTCAGTGTCGCAGACCTCGAGCCTCAAGCGCGATGGAAAGAGTTGACGAGTACAGTCTCTGGGTTAGTGCCCAGTGGCGAGGGAGAAGGGCGATGGAGAGCCTCAGATTGGCTCAGTCCAAATGAGCAAAGAAGGATGTCAAAGTTTACACAATATGCTATCGCTGCTAGCGATATGGCTCTCAAAGATGCGGGATGGGAACCAAAAAGTGAACAAGAACAGGAGAATACTGGCGTTTGTCTAGGGAGTGGTATTGGAAATCTGGATGAGATTTATGACACCAGTTTAGTGCACCATAAAGATGTAAGATTTTACTCCAGCCAGGTCTGAGCCGGTGCTAAATATATGACAGGGCTATAAGAAGGTATCACCGCTATTTGTACCCAAGATCTTGATCAACATGGCTGCTGGCCACATAGCCATGAAATACGGCTTTCACGGGCCTAATCATGCAGCGACGACGGCTTGCACGACTGGCGCACACTCAATCGGAGATGCATCACGCTTCATTACTATGGGAGACGCCGACGTCATGATCGCGGGAGGCTCGGAATCGTGCATTCATCCCCTGACCTTCGCAGGCTTCGGCAGGGCGAGATCCCTATCAACAGCATACAACAACAACCCTACAGCAAGCTGTCGTCCATTTGATGCCGATCGTAACGGATTTGTCGTCTCTGAGGGTGCTGCAGTGCTGATCCTCGAAGAGTTGGAGCACGCCAAAGCGCGAGGAGCTCGCATCTATGCTGAGATCAAAGGTTATGGCTGTAGCGGCGACGCTCACCACATGACAGCGCCGCGAGAAGATGGCCACGGCGCGTTTCTTGCAATGAAGAAAGCTTTGAAGAAAGCTGGAATTAAGCCTTCACAGGTTGACTATATCAACGCGCACGCGACAGCGACTAGTGTTGGAGATGTGGCAGAGACGTCAGCTATTAGAAGACTCATGCTGGGTGACGAGGGACATCAAAAAGAGTCGGATATAACAGTCAGCAGCACAAAAGGTGCAGTTGGACATTTGCTGGGTGCTGCCGGAGCCATTGAAGCTATGTTTTCTGTCCTCGCCATTCACCAGGTATGTAACCCCCTATAAAACAACGCCTATAGTTACTGACGATCCATAGGGAGTTGTGCCTGCGACGTTGAATCTACAGAGGCCAGACGTTGGTGCTGCGTTTAACTTTGTACCGAACGAGGCACAAGAAAAAGAGGTTGGTGTGGCTGTATCCAACAGTTTTGGATTCGGTGGCACGAATAGTTCATTAGTATTTTCCAAACATTCGTGAATTGAATTAACAGAATATTCAAAAACAAGAATTGTACTCTCACAAAACTTCAACATATGAAACCTCAGTGAAGGCATCGTATAATATAGTGCACAGTGCCCCTCGCACCAAGGGTTCCCCCACTGCCGATATATACCCGCCAGCCTATCACAAGCCAAACAATTTCTATACTATCAAAAAGATCAGTTCGTCATGACCTGGTGCATGACGTGAAGACTCCCAAAAGCTTCCCTTTGTACCGTCTTCAAGGCTTTCTTAAGCCAATTTTCCTCTCCAAAATAAATCCCCAAACAAACCCGAACCCAAATCATGGCCTGCGAATCTTGTAGAACCCAGGCCCGCTCCGTCCTCCGGGCCGCAATGCGAGCCGGCGCATCACGAGTCGCTGCGCCCACGACAAGAAACTTTTTGCCGCCCGCTGCAGCTATGCTTTCTCGACGAAATTTCAGCAATTCGAGCTCGAGGAGCCTTCTTCAGGGTATTGGAAAGTCTATGGCTGAGCCCTATCGTGTGTTGGGCGCTACGGAGCAGTTGTTCAAGGCTTCGTCCAAGGCGGCTGATTACCATATTACTGAGAAGGAGCGCAAGGAGGATAAAGTGACCCTTGCCGAGGACGGAGAAGAGATTGGACATTCTCTAAACCCTGAGAGTCCGTGGCATCATGGTATGTTTTGTTCCAGCAACTTCTAACCAAGAATGTTGTCTAACCGTGTGACTTGCAACAGTCTTCAAGCTTCCTCCCACCTTCAGCACCTGGTCCCACGTTACAATGCTTCACCTCTACCTAATCAACACCCGAATACGCTGCTTCGACCGCGAGGGCTTCCACAACTGGCAGCACCAGCTCACAGACCACTTTTTCTTCGAGTGCGAGAAGAAGATGCACATCGACCACCACATTACATCGAGCGCCCTGCGACAGCGATACCTCAAGGACATCTTTGTCCAGTGGCGCGGTCTTCTCCTGGCCTACGACGAGGGTCTTATCAAGGGCGATGCCATGCTGGCCAGCGCCATCTGGCGAAACTTGTTCAAGGGTTCACCTGATGCGGACCCTAGAGCTCTGCTTGCCATTGTGGGATGGATGCGATCGACACTGCTCCAATTCGAGGCTGTCTCAGATAACAACCTTCCTGCGCAATTACCAGTGATCATGGCGAAGCCGGTGGATGTCTTCTGGACAAGATTGGAGAAACAGCTTGGTGGGCAACAGGAGGATAGTGTTCCTGTGGCAGAGCCTGTAAAGGAGGCAGATGCTCTACCAACAGAGGCGGCCAAGGTGTCAACGAACTAAATTATGAGCGGGATTATGTGTATGTATTATTGTACGATGTGTATTATTAGGACGGTTTGGTTGAGCTACTAAAACACATGAGACACAACAATGACAAAAGCATTTATGAGTATATAATACATACACGAGTACTCCCAACAACAGATAAATTTCCTATCATCCTGATCACAATACCTAAAGGGCTCCTCCAAAAGTCTTCCCCCCATATTGACTTGTATATCCCCTCAGTTACAACTTTGACGGTGGCAAAATCTGAACATCTTGGAAGGGAACTCCCAAGAACTTATAAATATGGTTGAATCTGCATAGCCAGTTAACAAAGCTCTCAGTCGCACTGGAAAGGGTGATCTTACCTGTCACTTCCAAAGAAAGCCTCCGACTTGCCCTCTCCATTCGTCACCATCAACCACGGTGCTCCAAAGGCACCTTTCTTCACAGCTTCACCGGTCATTTCCTTGACTCTCTCCTTCATGCTCTCTCTTCCCTTCATGATCTTCTCAACATCCTCATTTGAGAATAGTTTCTTGTCGCTGCCCCCGTCGAGTTCATCGGTCGCTTCCTTAAGCGCTGTGATAAGATTCGCGTCCTCGGCAAGGTTGACATGAGGAGGCATCCAGATCTTATGAAACAGAAATCGAATAGCAGCTAGGAATGTTTCCTCTGAGTAATTTTCCTTGATGAAGTGCAGAGCGCGGAGAGGCGAGATGGTCTTTGCGACAGCGAGAAGATCAGGTGGTGAGCCTTTGTAAGGAGCCGAGAGTCTTTCAGCGGAGCGACGGCTGTCTTTGCCGAGATACTTGGACTTTGCAGGGAGTACCCAAGGGGGTTTGTTTCCTGGCATATGGTGAGATGAGTGTCTTGTTTGGTTGTTGGATGAAGTATACCTGATTCGTTCATGATGCCGCCTATGAATACGGGGATGAAACTGGTCATAGGTCAGCATACAATATGCAATTGAATAGTTCTTAACATACTTTACTTGAACGCCATGAGCAGCCAATTTGCTCATGTTGCGTCGCAGTTCTATGAAGCCGACATAACTGTAGAAAGACACTTGTGTTTGTCAGTTTAATCTGAGAAAAGGAAGGATAATTGTTGGCTCACCAATGTCCACATAACAATCAATACGTCCACCCATCTTGAGAATATTCGTTTAGATATTGAAGTTGGATTAAGGAAAGGATATTGATAGTAGATATTTGTATGTCCAAGTTCAAGAGGGAGTGACCCCAGGCTTCGGTCCCCCGTGTTATTGCAGTGTGGGGTTGCCGAGGCTAATCTAATCCACCCCCGGACCCTCCGACTTGGACCCTTGAAGTTGGATATAATCAATCATTTACTATGAACCCCTACCAAGCGAACAAATCTATAGAATAATCAGTCACGATCATGGTTTCAAATAAGCCTGTCGCTCTAATTGTTGGCGCATCCAGAGGTATCGGTCGCCAAGTCGCCATCGACATCGCATCTAATGGTTACGCCGGTTCGTACAACATCCTCCAATATCTTATATAAAGTACTAACATGAGAATCAAGTCGTTGTCGCGGCAAAAACTGCCAGTGACCCTTCAAATCTGCCATCACCCTTTCCGCCAAATCCAAATTCATCTGCCTCGACAATCACAACCGTCGCTCATGAAATCACTTTAGCAGGAGGTGATGCTACAGCTATTCAAGTAGACGTTCGCTATCCCGAGAGTATAGACTCGTTGATCTCGCAAACCATTTCTGTAAGTATTCTCAAGCGTAACTGCCTTGCTCCAGTACATCACTGATACATATCATCAGACCTACGGCCGTCTCGATGTCCTCGTCTACAACTCAGGTGCTATATTCTGGGCTCCAGTCTCATCAACGCCTGTTAAACGCTTCCAGCTCATGCAGCGTGTTAACCCAGAGGGACTATATGCAACCATTCAAGCTTCTCTGCCCCATCTTTCCTCTGCAGGCCGTATCGTGGTTGTCAGTCCACCCATCTACAGCCGTTTCTTCCGTGGTAAAGCAGCTTATGCCATGGGCAAAGTTGCTATGAGCGTCCTTACAAAAGGTCTTGCGATAGACTTTGAGCGTGAAGGGAAGAACGATATGGCTATTACTTCTATATGGCCAGCTGTGGTACGTTTAAAAAAAAATACATGATGAGTACCATGGAACATACTGACATTAATTCAGGCTATTGAGTCTGCTGCTACAGATCAGTTCACTCGCAAGAACCCAGAAGAAGCTAACGACCTCCGAAAAGCAACCATCTTCTCTGACGCCATCCTCGCCATCCTCAAAGCCTCTCCATCCGTGGTCAACGGCGAACTGTTACTAGATGAAGATTTCCTACGTGAACATGCAGGTGTGACAGAGTTTTCCAAATATAACGTCGTCCCAGGCGCTAGACCACGCAGAATCATGCCCAAATCTCTTCCAGACTTGACAGTAGCAGAGCAGGCAGACGAGGGCAAAAGGTACGACAGCACAAAGAATAGAGCCAAACTGTAGGGTTATTCACAATCGCTATGTTTTTAATATTTGTAGGGAAAGGAGACCGTTGCAGGTAGCTACATGAATGATATCTTCTATAAAAACAAACACGTCTAATACTGCCTTGGCAGAGCCGCGTTCCCAAAACTCCGAGACATGATTACAAAAGTACACCCAACTCTTTGAAGCCTCCTTTCATTCCATTCCGTCCCTCGACATGTACAAAGAAAAATACTTCCAACTTATGTTTTCATCCGCCTTCCACGACTAATAATCGGGGGCCTGGCTAGCCGGTGCGACCCCTTGCATCAGCTCAATATCGTCCATCGACCTATTGAACGCAGCCATGACCTGGTCTATGGCGTTACTGCGGTTCCACTCATTTCTCGTGCGCCAAATCTCATCCATAAGATCACGGTTGATCTGTTCGAGCTGCTCAATAGTGCAACCACTAGTTGCATCTGTCACTCTATTCAAGATTCCTTCCACTTCGCCCATTGTCAGTGGCTGAGAAGCCGAAGTCGATGAGCCTGATTGGCGTGCAGATTGCTCATCGGAAAGGTGGTCGTTCAATATGCTCGCCATGCCACCTATGCTCTGAGCCTTGAAACCTAATGATGTTCTGGCCGAAGAGGGACTGTCGGAAATATTGGAGACTTGCATGTGACTGCCACCTGCAGCTCCGGCTGGCGGCTGTGAGTGCAACCAAGAGTCGTCTTCCGAAATGTTGTGCCCAGCTTCAATCAGTGTGTCAGGAATATCGGCCTGGCTATCATCCTCAACGCCTCGGTTCTCAGCATGAGCCCCGTTAGTCATCTGACTAAAGTCTGATGAGCGATGTGTCGAAGGATCCGATGTCTTAGTTGTGGATGCCTCGTTAATGACAGCTGAAGGCGAAACTCCTGGTGGCAATGTCGTCACTACGGACTTTTGCGATATTTGTGTCTGGGCTACACTGAGTTGGTCGTGAGATTTCGGTGGGGGGCCCATTTCCGGAATCGCCTGTGTGTCATTGTCAAGGCCGCTCATTTGAGTGTCCTCTCCAATCGTGTTGATGATTCTATTGCTATGAAGCTGTGAATCCTGACCTGAGGTGCCATGACCGTTCGAGAGCGGGCTTCTAACTTGGAACCTTGCAGTTGTTCTTGATCCTGGAACCACTACTCCAAGTGTAACAGGTCCCTGAGAATCGCTGTCGTTGCCGCCAAGATCGGACTGAACACGGTCCACGAGTGATTGCATGGCTTTTCGTTTTCGCTCCTTCTCGGTAGCATCCTTGGCCCGTTGGATTTGACGTCGGTATAGTCCTTCCCAGTCAACTTGAGAGGTTGTGTTTTCGATACTAGCGACATCAACTTCAACGTTGCTAAGAAGTTCATTGGCCTTGAGAGTTCGTTCCTTATCCCCAATGTTTTTCGCATCCTTTGCAAGAGCCTTAATATCGAAAAGGAAATCTTTGGGTCGGGCGTAGAAACCGTTCGACAAGCGCTCCTCGATAGTAGTAGTCTCGAGATTATAATAACACTTGCCAGTCGCGGTGTCTCGAAGAACATCATTATCGTACTTGTCCTTAACGATCTCATATGGTCGGAGTTGGCCGGCTTCAATATCTGGTCGTACAAAGTTGGGCTCCGACTCGGCGAAGAGGTATTCAATCTGAGCAGGAGGAATGACAGGCTGCCTGAATTTCTTGTACTTTCTATTGATCTGATCCATGATTGGTTGAAGCTGGATCTTGAGGGCGTTGAGCAGCTGGTGGTCCCTCTTCTGCGCCGCTTTCATATCCGCCTTGGTGGGAGGAGGGGGCTCGATGGGAGGGGCAACAGGAAGCTCTTCAAGAACTCTCTTTTTGCGGTTCTCAGGGTCAGGGAACTCGCGCGGCTTCTTCTTAGCATACTGCAGCGTGGTGCTGAAATATTCCATGCGGCATTCCTACGTGAGTTAGCATATAGCATCAACGGCCAAGCAAGCGTGACTTACCTTGCTGGGGCTGTTGATCCTCATTTGGTTTTTGGCCGAGAATCCAAACAAGTCGCGAAGAAGCTCGCCAGGAAGATCATCCTTTTCACCCTCTGCAGTGGCCAGAACAAGGACTGGGTCTGTAGGTGCAATGGATCGTAGCATGGTCTTGAAAGTAGTGAGAGCAAGGGTGTTGTGCAGCGCTGCATACCAGGCTTCAATGTTGGGAATGTAGATAACACTAGGCTTGTGCCTTCTGACTTCTGTAAAAAGACCAACAATAACCTGTTCCATAGCCTAAATATGTGTAAGTATGTGATAGCATTTGAGGAAGAACTAAACTTACCCTTCCGTCGGTCAAGATGCTGGGCAGATCAAAGTTCTGGACATGAACCCCTTCAAAATAGTGAAGAATAGCAGACGAGAGATAATTATGTCCCATGCCACTCTGGCCATAGATGAGGAATCTAGGGCGGAACACTCTGGATCGCTCAAATTCTTGGTGCATAGCTTCTCTACCAAAACCATGATCATCGTCATCAAACTGCTCATACATAGCTTCTTGAAGCGCTGTCAGCTTCTTCTTGCGGGGCAGGAGGCCATCGAGAGCCGACTTGGCAATTGTCAGTTGATCCCGGAGTAGAGGTTCTATCGACTTGGGGAGAGGCTTGGCACCCGATGTTGCTGATCGCTCAGACGAAGGAATGAGCTTCTTGATAGACAACATGAAGTCGGTTGCATGGACAGCAATTTTTGAGGGATCAACGACCAGCTTCTCCTTGGAAGCGTAGATCTGGGGATACGTTCGTTGAATGGCGTTGAGAGCAGCTTCTGTGCAAAGAGCTCGCAGATCAGCACCACCGTAGCCCTTTGTGTTCTCGGCCAAGGAGTCCTTGAATTGATCTGAAAGTCCCCAATCCGTAGTGTGAATGTTGAGGATTGACTTTCGTCCCTCGATATCAGGCAGAGGGAAGTAAAACTCGCGGTCAAATCGACCAGGTCGGCGAAGCGCAGGGTCAATATTGTCCGGGCGATTGGTGGCACCAATAACAATTACCTGGCCACGACCATCCATACCATCCATCAAAGCCAAGAGTGTCGAGACAATGGAGGCGTGAATCTGTTCCTGCTTGCTGGATCGAACGGGGGCGAGACCATCGATCTCATCAAAGAAGATAATACTTGGCTGAGTTCTCCGCGCCTCTTCGAACAGCAAACGAAGCTGCTTCTCGGCTTCACCTACCCACTTACTCAGGGCATCGGCACCCTTTCGCATGTAGAACGAAATCTTTCGGCCGCCAGACCCAACTGAATTGGCTAAAGCTCGAGCAAGCAATGTTTTACCTGTTCCGGGAGGACCATGGAACAGGACACCGCGTGGAGGAGTGACGTGGAATCGGGTGAAGAGCTCGGGGTACAGCAAGGGCAGCTGCACCATTTCCTTCAGCTGATCGATATGTCCTTGAAGACCACCAACCTTGCTGAAGTCGACATTCAAGTCAACACCCAAAGGATCAGCATCTGCAAGAGCCTTGCGATCTTTGATCTTGCCGACGTTGGGTGCTGCACCAGCGCCCTCCAAATTCATACCAGGTGCACCAGGAAGCAAACCACCAGGAGCAGCTGCAGACGTCGGGGTCATGCCAATATTACCGGCTACACTAGAGCGATGGACCATCTCGTCGTCACTGCTGTCTGAATCAACTCCGCCAGCTGCGCCAGTGCCCCAAGGCCCGGTCAGAAGGGCACCACCACCGCCGCCTCCTCCGAAGGGTCCAAATGTGGTGTTGAGGCTGCGCTCCCAACCTTGGGTGGCACCTCCTCGTCCCCTTCGCGCCCGCGGTTGCGCTGTGGGCGCCTCCGCTTCTTCTTCCTCAATGTTAGCTGAGGTGAGAGGCGGCATATAATAGTTGACGCGTGTTCTTGCTCGTCGAGTGTTTTCTTGGTAAACGATAGGTGACTCCTTCCTTGGACGGCGACGACGAGAACGCGAGTCCTGCCTAAGTTCTCGAGCCTCTTCATTCAATTCATCCAAGTCAAAGTCAGGTTCTTCGTCTCCAGAATCTCCACCGCGGCGTGATCTGGCAGGTCGAGAGCGTCGCCCGCGAGGAACAGGGCTATCGACGTCATCGACATCTTGTGGGCGGGATTTCTCTGCACCAGAAGCCTCTGCATCGTCGGATTCGTCGCCAGGCTCGAAGTCGCTGCTAACCTCTTGAGACTTCTTGCTAGACTTGCGGGTCAAGCGACGGGATTTCCTGGGAGCAGCATCGGAGTCGGCTTCTTCTGGTTGGGCGGAGGCATTGGCGCGGGACCCACGAGTCCTACGCGTAATAGGCACATCGTCCTCGTCGTCATCCTCTTCTACCGTCTGCACAGGAGCGTCTTCACCGGGTGCATCTTGATCGGCAGCGTCTTGCATCTCTTGATCAACGACCTCCTCCTTTGGAACCTCTGTAGGGTCATTAGCCAGTTCATCTGGCTCGTCAGCTTCTCGAACTTCTTTGAAGCTGCTCTCCTGGGTAGCCTCTTGAATAGTTTCGGGAGCCTTGTTTAGGCCCTTGAAACCTCGCGTGGCTCTTGTGCTCCGTGCAAATGTCTCAGGACTTCTACTCCGTGAGTCTCGTGACGGGACAGCGTGTTTCCCAGAGTTAGAAAGTTCCAGGAATTCATCGGCTTCTTCTGTGTGAGCCCGGGTCGTCCTACGAGGCGCGGGCAACTTGTTGTTGCTGAGTTTCAGCTTAACAACTCGAGATCTGGTTGACCTGACAGGCTCCTCGACAGGCTCTCCCTCAGCATCATCCTCCTTGACGTCCTGATCTTCTTCAGGCTTGATATCGTCGTTGGCAGCATTGTCAGAATCCTCGCCGCTAGCTGATTCTGGACTGCTTTCGTAGTAGGTGTTGTGCTGGGTGGCAGCTTTTCTGGCACGACGACCAGCTGCGTTCATGGTCGCTTCCTCGTCGTCCTCTTCTTCATCGTCGTCTTCGAAGAAGTCTTCCTCGTTGCTATCGGAGACTTCATCCTCGTCGTCGTCAATGTCCGAACCGCCGTATCCATTTTTGCGTCGGCGACCGGGTCTTCCACTTCGGGAACGACTGCTCTTCTTGTTGGTCTTTCGAGGCGGTCCAGCTTCCGTAGGGTCAAAGTTTTCATCTTCGGGGTCTGATTTGTTGGGATCAAAGTCCTCGAGGACTCTCTTCCGCTTGCTAACCATGGTTGTCGGGTCGGTATATTGCGGATCGTCGTGGTCGAGATGGGCGGCGAAAGTAGTCGAGCTTTGCGATCCTGTGAACAAAAAAGGGATGTCAGTAAGGGATACTTGGCGCGATCAGGAACCGGAGTCATAGGCGCAAGAGTTGCCATGGATTAAACCAAATAACATTGCTTTGATCGATTGTTTTTGTTGCAAACTTACCTTTTACATGCGTCTTGTGCACGATATCACGTTGAGTCGTGCATGGGCGGCGTGAAGGCAGTCAAAGCTGTGGCTTACAGCGCGCTCAGGATCGGCGCAAAAGCGTCGGGGGAAGTATCAACCCAAACAACCAAACAGTACACTGTTGATAAGTGCGTCTGGCTGTTATTGGCGATGAAAATGATACAGACGCGGTCAAAAAAGGAGAAGGATGTTTGATGAAGTAGTTTCGCGTTCGTTCATTGTTGGAAGTTGAGGTCGCGCCAAACCCAACCCGCAGTGAAAACAAGTGTGGGTCCGGCCGCCCTGAGCTGTGATTGGTTGACTGCCGCAAAACACCATGAGATTAATCGAGATGCAAAGCCGTTTCAGTATGGGAATGAATTGCAAGAAAAACGATGAACACTTGACATGACTTGTGATATGTCTTTGTGAGATTTTTTTGCATCGATTAGATCGACTTTTGTCTCCTGATTCGTTTTTTCCAGGTCTCAACGCGTGTCGAGCCATTTCACACATTCAATTCCTAATCTCATTTTCACGAATTCCATTAACGAAATCTTGACTTACACGAGCTCAGTCCAGGGGTTCTCATCGGAGCCAAATCTCGAGGTCAACATTCAAGCTCCATAGGGCTGATGGTAGACAACCGGCAACATGCAGCAGCTCCACAGACGGCTAATCTTCGGAGTTTGGAACAGCTTGGTTTGCCGCCTTGTGATTCAGGCAGAAGTTTCCAAGATCAGATCTGTGCAGATAAACTTTATTTTACGAACAAGACTTATCTGTCATGAACGATCTACAATAATACTCATAGGTAGTACCTATGGAGATGCTAGAGGAGGTTATTATTATTATGATCCTGCATAGGTATTCTCGTATCATTAGGCCACCTGTACACAAAGCCACCTGTCTATGGACACGAATAACATTGAGCATCTTATTACCCAGGTGAGTACATGAAATGTCATGGCCGTTTAACCACGTCAGCAGTTCAATCTACTATGAATAGACTGAAGATCACGCATAATATCTGCAGATCTGGAAAGGAACATCATTCGTTTCCACGTAAAAAGTAAACTCTTATTCAGGGGTGTCAGCTGTTGTCCACGTACTGTAACTTACCCTATGCCTCCAACCGACCAAGAAAAGTCTGAATGATGGATCAACATGCCTCTATTCCCGGACCCTATTTTAAACATTTCATCCCTCGTCGTATGTACAGTACAGTACAGTTCAGTCCAAACGGATGACTCGGCAAACCCACCTTTGCCCCAAGTCAAGGACAAGCAAGTCCCAAGCATTGGCATGATTATCTTCAAGCCTTGGCACCTGTGGCCTCGCCAAGACAGACGCGTAATGCGAACGAGCGTCGTCTCGAAACCGAGCATCGATCATCTCATCTAGTATCAGTACCGAGGATCAAGCATTTTTTTCCTTAAGTAATAAGTCGTACAATCAGGGTACTGTACCATAGTAGTCACTGAGTTAAGCCAATTATAGAAGTAATAGTAGTGTATGTCTGTATGTATTTGATTCATGGACTCGTTACGAATATTGCTACACAGAATGTAATCATACAAAAAAAGTCGTCTCTCGTGGTACAGTCTTCCCACTGATCATCCTCGTCTCCCCCCCCCTCCCCAAATGGGTATCTATTGCGTCTGGTTGGTCTCTTCCGAATGGATGGTTGTGAATGTCTCTTCTGTTTTTACCACACAAAAGACGCCACGCTTGCCAATGAGAGTGTCCGTCCCGTACCAGCCAGCGACGTTGATTGAGTGAATGATTGAATAAATGTGATACAGAATAGTAATAAAAAAGGGTCGTTTGGGGTGGTGTGATTAGGCGGTCATGCTGGTGTTTGGTGTTTATCGTTTATGCTCGGTCATGCTTCAATCCTTGCCAAACATGGCTCGAGCAAGATCGGCCAGGGATGGACCACCAAAGAGAAACTGGCTCGAGTGTCTGCCACAGTAGGTGTGGACGTTGACCTGGGCTGGTTGTGGTGCAGGCTTGAACCAAGAGCGAGAGGCTTTGGTTCTGGAAGAAGCCGTAGATTTGGTTGAGGTAGAGAATTCGCTTGCGTACGAGTTGGTACGTTGCTAAAGACGGTTTGTTAGTATGGTGGTCCAGACCGGGGTTTAAAGTTCTGGGAGCATAGCTGATGAAACTCACCTTGCTTTCCATAAGCGGGACAGGCTCGCGGCTGCGACCACGGAGCTCCTCCTCAGAGGTTCTGTTGTTGCGGGATCCGAAAACCATGTTGAAGATTGTAAAGTTCAAGTTCAAGTTCAAGTTGAGTGATTGATTGTAAAGTAAAGTTGAAGTTATCGTCTAATAAAGCTTCGAGGTTGTTTCGTCAAGTAAAGTCAAGGCACTCCTGGTGCAATCTAATAGATGTCAAGGAATGTCTGTTTGTTTGTGAAGACTGGAAACTGAAGATGATGATGAAGAACAAGATTGATGATCAAGGGGGGAAAGAGCTCCCTTAAATAAAAAGCTCCCAGTTCCTTTGTGACCTGAGCTGAAGGAAAGGGACACTCTAGAGACCCATTCACATTCCCAATTCCCCGCTACTTTTGAGTACCCCAAGCCCCCCAAGCCCACGCCAAGCCTAGACCCCCCGAAGAAACACCCTTGTTGCTACGTAGCAGAGCCCTATGAACGGACGCTAAACCATGCGCATTGTCAGCCGGCAGTCTTGGCCCGCTCTTGGTATGACGAATTGCAGATCTGACCAACTTACGCGGGACCCAATAAAGGTTGCGATGCGATGCAACTTTGTGGCTCACCCATTTCGAGTATGGAAGATATCTAGAAGCTATTTTGTGTGTTGGCCTCTACTTGACCATTCATATCTTGAAAGAAAGTCAGTGATCACCTCAGTAATATTCAGTCTGAATGTCTGTCAACAAGTTGGACATTACTACAATATCCAGACATGGCTACACTCTGAATCTCAATCAACTCTTGACAAGTTTATCACTCTCCACTTAATTAAGCTACCCTTCCATCTCCCTGTCCGTAAACCGAATTACAGTGACGAATACGGTACGGACCACGGCACAGTCGGATCCGAAAAGCTGACATAGCGGGACCCCGTTGGGCCCACATACGCCGGGACCTCCGAAGTGCCATCCGTGACTGTCATCGCCAAGCAAGAAAACAGAGGTCACGAGGAACCTCACTTCTCCACTACGACCCCCCATTTCTAGAAGGTCGCTAGAAGCAGACCCTTGCATAAGATTGTCTATCTCCGATTGATTCGTTGATGCGTAACTCTGCAGATGAGATAAGATCAACAGCAAGGGGGGGAAGTCACACTCAAACTGGGCGGTTGGTTTGTTTGTTCTCTCAGCCTTGCTCCCAATGCAACCTCAATTTGGCTTGGTCATGTCATGGGGGGATATCATGAGACACGCATAACCAACGATTGTTGGTCAATTGGAATTCGATGGGACATCTAGCCTCATGCAAGTATTCTCGTTGCCTGGCGATAGTTGCAACAATGAGCGACGGATCTGCATGCGTCAGATGCTTAATGTCGACTTGAATTCAGTTTAGATCTACATTGGGCACATCCAGCCCAAGCCTCGTGTCAATCTATCGTAGCCTCAAATGTCATCAACGATGGCTTGTGCTTAACCTCAGGTCTAACAAAAGAACTCACCTGCCACACATAATCTCTCTTAGAATAGCTATGCGAGATCTGTCTCTTCTAACCGAAAAATAGCGTTGAGAAACGTTGCATCGGCTTTTTCCACTACGCTGAGAGGACAGAACCTTAAATCAAAGGACCGAGTTTATTAACAGTAGCCAACCCTAAGGTAAGACGGTCTTTGACCAGCTGTAACTGCTAATGCAGCCACAACAGCCCAATTCCTTTATTTTTAGTGAGTAGTCAGTGATACTGTCATCGGGATGACGCTGTGGCCTTGAGCTGAAAGCCACTGTAGCATGTTTGCACCGGCACGTCCCAGAGATGAGGTTACCTTTCTGACGAACCTTGCTCCATCTGGTTGGTATCGACTTGTTTGACGTGTTCTGGACCGTCTGATGACTCTTCTCCGGGACGCAGACCGTTGAAGTTTCGACCCAACGGCCAAGCCGCCCATTAGAGTTGGTTATCCTAGTGATGATGCAGTATCTTGGAGTTGTCGCATTCGTTTCGTAACTTGTACTGTAATTCGTAAACACAAACCAAACACTAATAATTGCCAAGCTCAACTTAGCCCTCTACCAAGCGTTGCCAAGAAGTCTGGGAGTCCTCGTCTTGGCAATACGGTGCCGATATCCTCTTGGCATTCATCTTGCGCTTTGATATCTCCGCTAGCCTCAAGACTCTGAATTTCATTCGCTACCTCGTATTTTACCATATCTTCAGAGTCACTTATTATCTCTAGATTGTTATAGAAATTGTTCAACCATTGATTAGATACTTGGCCTTATGATGCGAAGAGATACCGACCCATCCGAGAGCTTCAACCGCTCGTAACTTCTATTAACTTCCTCGGTTTGTGAAGTGGAGGTCTCCGCCTTTCGCTTTGTGCCTAACCTAAAGACTTACATCTTGAGGATTTCAGAATATCTTCGAAGCATGCAGCATCGTATTGACATCAAAGTCGATGGTAGGATGTGATTCGAGTATTATAATTGTGGTGTCTGGTCAATAGCTATCTCAAGGTTCTTGTTTAGTTTGTCGTCGCACACCGTAGAGGTGTCCTATCACGATCTGACATGACGAAACATGAACAAGGTCAACAAGGTCAACAAGAATATATTCGCATATATAGTCGATGCTTTCTACAAAGACTCGTTCCACTGTATTCGAAGGAGCCTAATGGTTGTTGTTGATAACACTCTATGTTTGACAACTTATTATGTTTTCTTTAACCTTGACTCTTATATATAACTTTCCTTCTCTCAGTACAATGGTGCCTTTGTCGGGTATAACCACCAACATATCGATATATACCGAGTGCAGTAGTATTAGTAGGAGCTAGGAGAGATGAAACGCAGTTGATAGGCTGAGATCAACTATTATTTGAGCAGAATGATATTTACGTACTTACATAAGATGGTTCTCGACAATAGAAGAGAGCGAAGGGTTTACATAAAACAACTCGGTTACAACCTATTTGGTGTAACCTGTAGAGCCAGTAGGCTTTATGGGTAGTGGCGGACTGCTACTAGAGATACTGCCTCTCGTTTTCGAGTACACAGGGCGTACATCTATTCCTATATATGTACTCAATGGGTAATGATAGCATAACGTAGGAAATCCAGTAGAAAAAACTGGAAATGTAAATGTTAAGTGAGGTGAGAACAATCAAAGCCAAGTGTATTATGATAAGAACACAGCATCCAATGGATTTCTCCCTCATCGTGTAAAGACGAACAGTGTTTAATGGATATAGCCTAACCGGAGAGATGCTGCAACCCTAAGCACTGGAAATAGCTCTGATTACACAGTTGCACTTTAGCACTCTCATTACACTACATATAAGCTTACTCACTCAAGAATACAGAAATAGCCCATTGTAGACCTCCAGTTGAAGTAGTCTTCATGTACCATTGTCTGGAGATATATGAGAGTTGAGACCGTGGCGTACATGACAGAAATCAGGAAAGCCAGCGTGAGACGGATACGGTCTGAAGAATAATACTACTACATAAAGAAGTGATATAACATATTCTGCAGTCTCGAGCAACAATGCCCTCGTTTTCATTTGTCGACATCAGTCTGTGAAAGTATGGTTGCTCTAGTGTGACGAAGCCCCTTCATCAAGTCCCGACTGCTGGCCAGCCACAAGCCCAACCAATCTAGCCTGCTTATATCCGTGCCCAACTGGCGTAATACCTAAGTTAGCTGGCATAATTTGTGCTCCCCAAGATGTCTAGGTAGGGAGAACATCCTTGCCAATCGCCAACCGTCAGTTACCTCGGTGGGTTGATGCATCATGATCACTACATGCCGACCTCCCAATCTGGGCCCCGGCCTCATCCATGAATTACACCAAGCAGGTGGTTGATCCTCTTTGCTGTGATTCGCATTTCTATTTCTCTTAAGTTGCATTTCCTCGTAATTCTTGCCTGTAACCAATGCTGAAACAGAAGGCCAGCGACGAACGCTTAGCTACTAAGTTATCCCTTTTAACATATTTCCGTTGCTTTATTACGCTGTGTAAGTTTGTCCCCGATAAAGCGAACCTCGAATTCTGTTTGAGCTTTGTCGGTGCCATTGATATAAACAGCGAGACGTTTGTAGAAACCCTTTCAGGCATAGCATAGTACTTAGAGCTTAGTATACTAGACCACAAGGCCAACAGGAGCTTGGCACATCACTCCTTAGAAACCAAGCACAACAGGTCTGTATGTTTCGGTTCCATAGATGCCTTCTACGGGACACATGACCTCAAGAGCCAGGAGCCAGGAGCCAGGTAGACTCTTCCTCCTAAACGTGACCATATCGAGACCTGGATATAGATCCTAAATCAGGTATCGACTGTTTGATAAGACTTTACAGTAGGTAGGGCTAATATACATCATGTCTTGCTATATGGATGGGCGCAATTTGATACTCTCAATGTCGTCAACTGTGTTCCGATACCTTGTCAGCCTCGACTAATGAACAACTCTTCAATAGAACCACTGAAGTCGTCCTTTGGTTTGGGATACGTTCTCTTGTCAACAGCGGCATAACCCTTCGAGAACTTATCCAGGAGACGGGTGATCCATCTCTGCTCTTCGCCAGTCGCAAATTCATAGACAATACGCACTGCGAACCCAACTCGATACGGTCCCATGGCGCCTTGTGCCACCGACTCTATCGAGCGTAGTATCTGCTCTACAAAGTATCGAGAAGTTGCGGCTGCGTCAGCTCGCGGCGTCTCACACTCTATTAATGTTTCTTCAAGGATAAGCATACTCGCCCAGTATCCCATAAGCAACGATCCGGCCGCCCCGGATTGATGCTCCAACACTGTCTCGAACAATGAAGTTGTCGGGTCAGTAGGCAAGACCTCAACTGGTCGTGGAAACTCAAGAGCGTCGAAATCGTCGTACCATCGCGCGAATCTCGCATGATTCTCTGTAGCTAGGTGGGCCAAGGCGGAGACTTTGTCAGGCTCAACGCATATACCAGCTCTGTGGGCTTCGCGGACGAGATACCCCCAGTGCAGGACAGGGGAAAGCTTGGCTAGATTCGCAATGAAACCATCGCCAACGCGGATATGCCCAATTGGAGTGTCGGCGGAGTAGATGAGACGCCTACCGCCGTCAAACATGACTCTGTTCCACTCCGGCCGCGATAGGAATAATTGTTCCTCGCCAGGGTAGAAGAAGTCGCCTATTATCTGGCAAGGGATCGTGTTAGTTGAAATCCCCGCTAGGGTAACATTGTCAAAAGCCGTTGAAAGGACGAAAGATCCACTCAGGTTCAGTTACCAGGATGGTAAATCCACTTGGACTGGAAGGGTGATATGTGAGATGCCATATCGCGCCATCTCAATGCAGAGTAACCCTGCCGGTGACGAACTGAGAGATATGATTGAAGGCATTGCGGCTGCTGCGATATTGATTGGTTATCCCGAGACACGTTCTTTGAGTTTCATGCCAAATCCCTTAGTCACTTGACAAAGAGGTAATGCGAGTTTCTGATCCTTCGCTGTGTTTCTATAGTTGAAGAGAACTAAGGAACATACAAGAATGCCACGGAATGACAGCAGCATAGCTGCATCCCAGCCCTCAGCGTGAGCCGCTGGGCCTCGCTGCTCCATCAAAGTACCAATGCCTTTGGCATGTTGAAGCCAGGTTTCCGAACTGCTGGTACCAGCAAACAGCTGATGAAGAATAAGCTTATTAGCCTATAGGGTACAGTGGGTGAACTACCTCGAAATAGCATAAAAGGATAGCAGCGCACAAGGTCTCAGGTGCTTTCCATTCTGTTGAATGCCGGAGCGCTGTCTGTAATTCCTTGAGTGCTAGGCCATATATAGTGCGGCTCTGAGCGACTAGAGCAGTATTGGAGGTTGCTTTGCCAGTAAGATGCAAAGCAAAAGAACATACAGCGCCGTCGAGGAGAGCACGTTTACCTAGTCGATCAATATTCAACCATGATAAGAGTGTAAAGAGATCAGTAGACTGAGAGTAGCTAGACGATGTTTCTACCATAGTAAGTAGGAGTGTTCGTCTTGGCACCGCCAGCTGCAACAGGGCTGGAGAGGCATTGCTCAAAGACCATGATGCTGGGTTGGTTGTAGGGATATTGTCACTCTCGTCCGACCCAGCTATGCTAGATGAAGATCCAACGGGCGATGCCTCGAGGGTTCCTGACCGTCTGCCGCGTTGACGAATCAGATGCTTTCCGCTATTGTTGTTGACGAATTTGATATCGCGATCATATCCCGGACATGCAGTGCCATACTTGAAGCAATTACTGCAGGCGGGTCTGAGGCCGTCACATTTGACCTTCCTGGTTCTGCAAAGCTGGCAACCAGTACTCCGGGGTACTCCAACTGGCAGTTGTAGTCAGTCCGAGCCTGGTTGGTATCTGTGTTTGAATAGGTGCTAACCCATGGCCAATGTCGAGGTCAATCAATGGAGTCTTGCCCAAGCTTAGATGTTCACCGCTGGTTCTTAACCATCTGTGCCGCTATCGGGTTGGTCTGGTGAGATCGAAATGAACCCCTCTCACACAAGCGGCTCAGTTTCCCGAAGCGGTCGGCGACGTTGGGAGAGAGATTGGGTAGTCCGTATTTGCTGTAGTGTAATAGTAGATGCGGGAGAGGCGCACGGAGGAAATGATTTGCACAGCCGGACCGGGCCTTTCAAGCGTTTCCGCTGACGCGCTGCTCCTCTCTTCGTGGCTCTTTTTAGTGATGTTTTTTTTGGTTGTAGAAGTCGAATAACGCCTTTCAGTTCACAACCTGGAAGCTTAAGGCACATGGCACCTGCTGACTTTATGTACTGTACCTCCACCGTCCAGCGTACCTGCCTTACCTTGTTCTATTCAAGCTTACATATACCGTGCCATCCCAAATCAGGCAATTCGGAATCCTGGAAGGAGCATATTACCTACCAACGCCCAACTTCCCAAGTTTGGTAACCACCGCCCTGTGGTGTTGACTGTCGCTGCCTGCCCGTCAACACTTTAATTAAAGCATTCGAAATATCTGGGGAAACCAGGATCCATTTCATGCAGGGCCACCACAAGGTAGCGGGCTGGGCATTTCGGATATTATGTACAAATACAATAACACATACTTTGTCCAAGACATATATCCTTGTGGTACTCCCTATTAGTCCTACAATACCGTGCCCAGCCCGTGTAGATCATCTATTATAGATCCATAAACTATATGCAGTTGCAGCAGTAGACCACCGTGTTAAACTTGTATCTTCAGTTCTCCCATTAGAACATACACGTACAATACCTAGGCAGTTGTATCGAACGACGGAGGGTAAATGCCTACATCCGATAAATAAATCCACGCTATTTACCGGTAATTAGCTGCGGGAATTACTCTTCAGAATCAATATTAAAAGTGACAATACTCCGTGTTATCTCCAGTTCATCCGCTTAAGGAGATGAAATAGAACGAAATGAACAACTGATAAATGGCCCCTGGCTGAAACCAATCTATCTGAATATAGGGGCAACAACAACCACATGTCGGCCGCTTGGATAAGAAATGAGACACTTCTGTATGCGCCATGCAATATAATTAAGCTATTCCGTACAAAGAGAATGGTCAATTCGCGCAGCTTGACAAGCGTTTCGTCATCTTTAAAAGACTGTAGGACGGTTCGCAAACAAGTCTGTGCGAGTAGAACTAAAGACACCAAAACAGCAGACCAACAGTTTAATGGGTTTTAGATTAATGCCAAGTCAGTCGACTAATCACGAAATCGTTGGCCGAAGCGGAAGCTCTTATAATATGCCCCAGAAAGGGTGAAGGGGCTGCTGATCAACGCCAACGGCGGGATTATTGATTATCTCTCGCACTTGATGGGCTGGTAGCCGCATCAACCACCGTTTAGTCTATCTAGTATTGGACCCTTCAACATGTCACTGAGGCTCAAGAGATGCAGCAGTAACAAGTGCTTCTCACAACAAGAGCCGAGGTTCTAAATTACGCCAATCTGCGCTGCTACAGAGCCGAGATTCGACTTCATTTCTACTATGCCTTCCAGAACAAACCCACTCGGCTTTCTTCTGATGTCGATATCCGTACTCGATGGTGGTTGCATGGCTCAAGGACAGGATCGGCATAAGAAAGTAATCTGGAGCATCGTCAAGATCAACGTTTGTGTGTCTTTACGTTTATTAGGCCGACCCCAGGCTGAACCTGTTTCGGCCCTGGAAGGGTCTCAGGGATGTCTTGTGATGGCCAGGAACAGTATTGTCCAGCTACCCCAGACCCGTACCACTTGAGTCAGACAATAACTGGTATGTAAGTGACGATGCTTTTGTCGGTGAGCACAATGACCGAGAAGTTGTTAATTAGTGCTGCATTTATTACCGAATTGAGACCGTCTTTTATTCCCTCGTAGATTATTTGCCATTCATGCCCTCAGTACCAAGACGAAGCCAGTTGTTTCAAATCCCGGTCCATACCTTGCTGTACAGTAACTCCCTTGCTGAAGATGCAAAATATAACAATCACGACTGGAACTGACTCTGATTATCTTACGGATACCATGCGCTCAGACACTCTTTGTTCGCCACGCATCCATAAAGCGAAACCCCACGCAAAACAAGTTCTTCAGTGGATGGTTTGCGACTGCTAAGGATGGAGAAGATAGCGGACCCATTCTAAAAATACGCGGATTGTTTGCTATCCATGGATGAATTCTTAGTTGAAGGAGGTCGCATAACTCGAATGAACTGATAGTCAACGTGTCACTCGTTTTGTCATGGAAAATTCCAGCATAACTGGCATGACGACTGTTATAATGGCCCTGAGAATAGGAGACGCACAAATTCATGCAAGGGCTGAATGTCCCGGTGAAGCTCATGGATTTTCAAGGAAAGCATAGGAATGTCTCTCAGGGTGAGACTTACTAAAGATGGTGTCGTGTAAAACATGTCTGTCAAATCCTCTCCTATCAAGATCTCTCGTTTACCTTTTCAACGTGCATAAGTCTAGGATCCACTGGGCCTCGCGTCTTGCATCGGCCACTGAGCCGTTGAAGTACAGGAACTTACAGTAACTATCGGATGTTTGTGTGAGATCCACGCACTGCGGACATTGCCTCGCAGCGAGCTACTGCAAGCCATGGATGCGATGCTTCTGCCGTCTCAAATCATCACTGTCATATGCTAGACAAGATCTCGGAGCCATGAATGCGCGGACAATACGGATAGTTAGGTCTTAGGAGCCAGTCAACCGGGAAGTTACAAACAAGTTGATCCATTTTATTAGATACAGTAAACGAGATCGAGTTCGTTTATTAGTCAAAGTACAAGGCAATACTTGCAGCTCGCTATGATCTATCCATGGATACGAACCAAACCAACTGTACGATTTCCACCTGGTGGACATGCCCTCGACTAGGACCCGGCGCAGCCTTGTTTGCATCCTCGGAAATACATAATGTACTCATTTGTCCTCCGTAGCACATTCTCTCAAGGCGAGTCATTCTCGGCCTTGTTGCTATCACCATCAATATTGTAGCTTCTCTAGCTTCGGGCTGTTGGTCATGTCGAAATGGAGATTCACTCCATCGTGCCGCCAAGTTGAACCAGACCTTGGATCTAACGTTTAGTAGCCACCATCCAATTGCCCGGACTCTTACTCAAAGAAACACCCCGAAAAAAAAAGCCTTGACCTTTTCCAGACGAGACGCACACAAGCGCGAACCCCTAAAGCAGCTAAAGCGTTGACAATCAATCGTCCCTGTGGATGATCGGCACGAATCTCTGAATTGCCTATTGGCACGTCTGATTGAAATTGTTAGTCAGCTGGGATTCCCCTGAACAATCCCTTGCTTTGAGGCTTTGAGTCGATGTATCGGACACGAACAGCAGGCAAGTATTTTGTGCAGGCGGATAATCATCACAGTACCCCTGACATCTTCCAGAGACCCCGAAATCTTTGACTCCGTTTTGGCGGGTGCAGTTTGAGACGACCAACATATGACTGACGGGACTGACTGGTCAAATTAAGGGACTCCATCTAAAGCGCCGCGATAGCCTCGTACAGGACAACACAACACAGCACCATTGTTTGAACTCTCTGTGGTCCCGCCAGCTGGTCGCTCAGCAATGCAGCAGGCAAAAGCCACCAGCACGGACATAAAATTTGTTCCTAGATCAATGCTGAAATATGCTCTTCTCTCGTGTCGACAGGCAACACAACAGAACACAGCAGACCAGACCAGACCAGGGCTCCATCTCCATCATACTTCCCTGTCCAACTAGCGCAGGATGGGTCAATGCCACAGCGAGAGCGGTGGCCAATCAGCCAATGATTCGCGTTTCTGGCATCAACAGACCTGCTCAAGTCTCCTTGAGGCCGTGGGATTTTGATTTGGGGAACCCTGGGACGGGCTCCACGCAGTACCTCGTGTTTGGCTCAAGTGCGGGTGAGGCAAGTGTGAATGTAAAGACGAGAATCCAATGCCAACAGACGGAGAGAATTGGCTTACGACGTCTTGCCCCTTGTCCCCTGCATGCTTATGTACAGCACTGTCTGGTCTAGCATGTACTTTGCTCTATCTCTACTAGGACAATCATCTCCACCAAGTCAGTGAATGTCGCGTTGTTATTGTTGTGATTTAGCTGAAAATTGAACGTCTGGACGAACAAGATGTCGCTTCCCTCTCTTCTCTCTCAACAACAATCCCCATCCATCGGCTTTCGGGCTATCAAGTGTTAGATTGCAACCAACAGACCGTCACGCGCCCCCACTCAACTAGGACCGTACCTGCTTGGGATGAACGCCCGTCCGTGGGAAGTTGGACCTGCCTAGGGGATCAGTGAATGTCCTACAGCGTTGTCGAGTAGTATTTTAGACCACTGTTAAGGGGTGCCACTCCCGTAGAGCCGCTGTAAATGTCCCTGGACCAATAAACCTAGCTGCAACTTCCAGTGGACAACCCAACTGTACCGAGAGTGGATACCTGCACAAGTGGAGGAGGTACCGGTACGGCCGCAGGTCCTGGGCTAA